TAAGGCCAAGAAAAAAGGAAATAAATATTTCTTAATTAGTAAAATATTAAGAAATTCTAAAAAGAAAATTTATTTTAGTAATAGAATAATACTAGAAATATTACTATTTAAGTTTATTATTAGTATAAGTAGTTATAAATAATATATATTATAAATTCTAGCTATATAAATAGCTAGGTCCAAAATAATATATAAGAAAAGTAAAGAAATATTATTTAAACTATTATTATAGTACTAAAGGCTTAATTTATTAATATAATACTAATAATATAAATAGTTCTTAAAAAGAACTTTTACTAAAGTTATTAAGACTTAGGAACTTAATATATCTGGGTTATTAAAATATTAGAATACTATCTATATACTAAATAAGCCGGCTCTTAAAAAAGAATTACTATAAGCTAATTATAATAATTCTATAAATAGGTATTTTAATACTAGTAAGATATTAGAGATTTTCTAAAGAAAGTATTTCTAGTAAAGTATAAAAAAAAATATAAAAAACTATATTAAAACTTATTTTATATATAAATAAACTAAAATAAAGAAATATTTATTATATAATATATTTAGTTTATTTCTTTTTTTTTAAGTTATAGTAAGAAATTATTATAGACTTTATTATAAGGCTGCTTTTTTCTAGATTTTATAATAAGATATATAATTCTATACTTATTATTATTAATAAATATATAAAAATAATATAATATATTCTAATTATTAAGGAAATCTCGGCTCTTGAATTAGTAGAGCTATTTATATATTATATTATTAAAAACTTTAGTATACTTATAAGTATAATCTTTAATAAAGAATTTGTTTTTATAAGTAAGTTCTAGTTAAGTCTATACTTTTATTTAAAGATTTAATAATAGCTAAATATAATATTTTACTTATAAACTAATAAATAAATAAAGAATTTAAATTAAACTCTAGAATAGTACTTAAAGTATTATACTAGCTACTAGTAAGATAACTAGGTAATAAAGCTTATTTTTATAAAATTTATATATAATAACTTTATATATTTAATAATAAAAATTTCTTTATTTTATATATTATATGAATTTTATTCTAGTATTAAACTATATATTAAGAATAATATTCTAGAAAAAAAGGTACTAGTAATATAAGAAAGAATATAAAGGATTTAAGTAAAACGAAAAGTACTAGAGAAATAATAATAAGAAGTAATAAATATATAGAAAAAGTATTATAATAAGAAATATATTAATAAGAAGTTTAATATATATAATAAAATTATATTTTATATAAAGAATATTTAATAACTATAACCTAATATAAAGCTAGTAAATAAATATCTTAGCTCTTTTAAAGTTCTAGAAGTTATAAAAATATATAAATAAATATATTACTTGAAATTATTATTATAATATTAGATTTATAATATTTTCTATATTTCTTTCTTAGAATTATAATACCTGTAAGCTAGTACTATAATAAAACCAGAACCGGTCAAAATTAAGAATAAAGAAGAATTCGAGATAAAATCTATTATAGCTTATAAAAAGAGTAAAAAAGAAAAGAAGTATTTTATTTATTAAAAGAGCTATTTACTAATAAATAATATATAAGAACTACTAAATAATCTAGAGAATATAATTCAAGAATTATAAAAATACTTGAAAAAGAGTAATATTATAATACTATTACCTAAATAAAAATATAAAAGATAAATACTTTTATTAGGAAACTATTAAAAACCATATATTTATTCTTAAAAAAGCTATATAAAAATTATTAAGAATTCTAAAAATTCAAATTTCTATATCTTATAAATACTTTATTTTTATAATTACTTTCTATTATTTATATTATTATTCTTATTAGAATTTTTTTAAGAAATAGGTAATAAATTAGCTTATAAAGCTATTAGTTATTAGTAAGAAATAAGAAAGCAATAAGCTTACTTAATACTAAAGAATATTAATTATATTATTAAGAATACTTTATACTTATACTAAGCTAATAAAAATTACTTAACTTATTTTTTAGATTATTAGAGGAATTTATTAGCCTCAAATAATAGTTTTAATATAAGAAATATATATAGTTTAGTATAGAAAAAAAATAGTAATAGCCTTTTTTCTTTTAGATAAAGAATAAAAAAGACACTTATATATATTAATAGCTTAAAAAAGATAGTTTAATTATATTATATATATTTGAGGAACCTTAAATAATATTAGAATAAGAAATAAAAGAAGAAATTTATAACTTATAGAATTATATTTCTTGTTTTTAAAGTAGTAGTAATTATATATTAAGTAATTATTACTTTTAATATAAGTAAAGTCAGGAAACTTAGTAATATTCTTGAAATATTAAAAATAGTAAAAGCAAATTAAGAATATAGAAATATTAGCTAAATAGGTAATAATAGGCTAATAAGTATTAAAAGAAGTATTTATTTTAATAAATAAAGAAGTAAAAGAGGAAATTAGAAAAAAACTTAAATAAAGCTTAAATAAAGCTTAAAGAAGCTTAAAGAAGCTTAAAAAAGACTTAAAAAAGAAAGATAAGAGATAAGAAGAAGCAAGATATAGTATTATAATTAAGGGAAAAAAAGATTAGTTAGTAGGAAAAAAGAAGCCTTTTTATAATATTCTTTCCTTAAATAGTAATTATAAATTCGGAATCGGCTCTATACTAGAAATATCCAGAAAATTCTAAAAAAGGAATTTATAAATAAACCAGAAAATTAGATTAATTTTTCTAAGCTCTTGAACCTATAAAATAATAATTTATTTATAAATAGAGACTAAATTAGAATTTATAAACTAATTAGAAAACTAGAAGAGCTTTATATCTAATAATATATATTATATCCGTATTACTTTTATAAGAGGAAATTACTAGAGGTAATTTACAAGTTAACTAAATAGAATTAGTAAACTATATCTTTAATTTCATTACTTAATGTAATAATAAGGTAATTATAAGAAGTTTTTAGAAAGAACTAGTAGCCGGGAAAGTTTTAGGAAATTATTTATAAAGCTATTTATAGTTTTCTTAGGCCTTTTAGAAATAAGGGCCTAGAAAGAAAATTAATAAAATAGATATATATAATAATATATAAATAGGTATTAAATATTATAGATCTAGTTTCCTATTTTAGATAAAGCTTATAATTAGAATTATAGGAATTATATAAAATCGTATTTTCTAGTTAAATAAAGTACTTTATAGGCTTAGCTAAATACTAGGAAATATATAGGAAAACACTTTTAGCTTTAGAAAAAAGTATTAATTAGTCTTTTATTAGAATTAATTCTTGAAATTAGTTATACTTATAAGTATTACTTTATAGCTTACTTACCTTAATTACTTATATATTACTCTATTATTATATATCTTATTATTTATTATTTTATTATTTATTATTTTATTATTTATTATTTTATTATTTATTATTTTATTATTTATTATTTTATTATTTATTATTTTATTATTTATTATTTTATTATTTTATTATTTTATTATTTATTATTTTATTATTTTATTATTTTATTATTTATTATTTTATTTATTTATTATTTTATTATTTATTATTTTATTATTTATTATTTTATTATTTATTATTTTATTATTTATTATTTTATTATTTATTATTTTATTATTTATTATTTTATTATAAAACTAAAGAAATAAAAATAATACTTTTAAAATATAATAATATAATAGCTTAAATATTAAATTATTAGTTATATAATTTTTAATATTAAATAATAGCTAAAAGCTATACTTTTTAAATATATTTAAAAAATACTAGAATCTAAAATATTTAATTAATAAAATTAAGTAATTGCTTTCTAAATTCAAGCTTAGTTAATATATAAAAACTAATTTAAATTAAAATAATAAAATATATTTAATTTAGAAGTATTTACCTAAAATAATAATAATATTTTCAGGTATAATTATTTAAAAAAAGATTTATAATTATAATATAGCTATTAATATAATTATTATTTATTACTAGTTTTAGAAAAAAAGATTTATTATTTAATTATATATATAATTATTAATATAAAAGGCAAGTTTAATATTATTAAAAGAAACTAATTTATAGCTAATAATTATTAAAGCTAAAAGAAATTAATTTTAAAAAATAATTAAATAGCTAATTATTTATTAATTAATAAAAACTGGAATATTCTTTTTTAAATTACTAAATAATTTCTTTATTTAATATAAAATAAATTAATTTTATTATAAGTTATTAAATAATTCTTTAATATAATTAATTTACTTATAATATATAATATATATAAAATATTTAATATAATAATTAATATTTAAAAATAAGAATTATAATATTATAATATTAATATATTTTCTTTAAATATATTAAGCTTAATTAGAACTAGTTTATTAATTAACTTATTTATATAATATAAAATTATATATTTATATTTTATTATTTTCGAGATATATAACTATATTATATAACTTTTAAAGAAACTAGTTATATTAATATTAATATTTAATAATTAGCAAATATTAAATAAGGCTTATTATTAACTTATTAATTATTTATAAAATTAAAACTCATTTTATATAATAAATATTAATTATTTATATAACTTTTAATATAATAGTTTTAGATATACTTTTAAATTTTTATTAGAACTATAAATATATTTTATATTAATTTAAGCTTATTACTTATTATTTATTTTATTTATTTTATAGTTTTTTAGTTTTAATATTTAATTTTAGTTACTTAATTTAATTAAAAGCTTTTACTTACTATTGTAATATATTTATCTTATTACTAATAATAAATTCCATGCCGTTAGCTTACTTTAATCTTACTAGGATCCAAAATTTCATTACTTCGCGCTTTCCCTCCTTATCTTCAAAAATTTCCATGCCACCAGCTTCCCAAAATTCAATTGCCCTATTCGCCAGAGATATCGTTCATATATCCAAAGGGTCAAACTATCATCAAAATCCACCTACCCGCCAAGTCCACAATGCTCGTTTTACTCGTTCAATACATTATCCGCGGCTGCGCAGCCACTATAACCAGCACCACAAATGCACAAGATCTCAGTCAATTCTCGCGGGGCCCCGAATTGTGCCCAGGGAAGATAGCATGGCCCCAAGTGCCGTCGCCCATCTCGTGCGACGACCCTGCGTGCCGAGGCATTTCCTGGGCAGTACCTCCGTATCGCTGCCGTCAACACGACGGCGTGATGTTTGGGATCGAAGTGTTTGGCTGCCCCTGCTGTCCGCGCCTGGTTGATTGCGACGACCCAAATTGTGCCGGCAGCCCCCACGACGAGATATGTCAGTCGGAACTCCTTGCCGACTGTGTTTGTGCATTATCCAGGCGAAGAGCGCCGGTCCCTCCCACAAGTACGCCATTCGACGCTGCTGCTGCGCAAGTGGAAGACGTTTTGGCAGATCTTACTGTGGACGAACCACTGAACAACGACATTGGAGCGATAATACCGAGTGGCAGGAATTGTCCACGCGATCCTCCAGTTAAGTGTCTTGATCCCCAATGCCGCGGATCAGACGATTGGAAGACCGAGACGTCATTGACCCCACGATGCAATCGGGCGGATGGCAAGCTTGTCATAGATGGCACCGAAACAGCCCTGCACGGTTGTCCCTGCTGTCCTGAATATATCGCCTGCAGCTCCACCGACTGCTATGGAGGTGCAAATCAGGCTTGCACTTCTGTCCCCTTATACGGGTGTTTCTGCGACTGGCCCGGCCGCGGACCTCAACTCACTGCCTGGCAACCTGCCTTCTCGGCCGGCGACGAACCTGACGTTTACATCTACGACGCCGACGCATTTCTTGACGGCCCAGATTATCATCCTCTCGGCGGCCAGCGTTTACCCACCACTGCAGTCTCCTCCACAGCTAGTTCGAGCATGCTTATTGAGGCCACACCTCTTCCAACCCAAGGGAGCATCGCGCCGGCTATCCCGCAAAATTTTACGTGGATGGATTTGCTGTCAAGGAGACAAGAAGCCTTCAGCTTATCACGGAATGGCAGTGTGTTCGTGATACCCGACCATTTCAAACACACGTAAATGATCATAGGGGCCTGGTCATTATGAGATATGAAGCAGCGGAATCAGTCAGCGATAAAGGAATGATCGTGAATGTATTTATCTACATAATCGGAACCTCTTCTTGACTCAACATTGGCACAGCAAAGTGAACGGATCGCCTGCTGCTCCAGCCACGCATGTTGCAGCCGATCCGCCCGTGCATGTGTACTGGCTACAATCCGAGTTTTTGTTACAGGTGGTGTTGGGAGGCGGCATTTTGACTGGGGCAGGAGCCGTCGTTGTTGGAAGTGCCGTTGTCGGGACAGTAGCAGCACTAGGCTCACACCCCAGAGTGACAAATGTGTAGTCGCCGGGAGCGGTAGTGCCCTGCATGCACCAGCTGGTAGTGCTATGGTCTGAATTGGTTCCCCAGTACTGCGGCGTGATGGTCGGTCCACATCTGCAGTAGCAATTGGTAGCGGGCAGGAAAGTGACCGATGCGGTCCCCGTGTTGAGGCTCGTGGTGGGCGTGTAACTTGCGTATGGGCAGCTAACGACGGTGGGATCTTGCAGAAGGCCCGGTACAGAGCTGGACATAGCACCCCAGGCTGTGGTGAAAACCGCGGCCACCAGCGAGGACAGCTGGTCCGGCGTAATGGCACCGGGATCGTCGTTTTCGATATCCACGTCCGTGCCGTCATTGCCTAGCCACAGACATCCGCAACCATGGTATGTCTCCGCCTGGCACTGGGAGAAACCGTCCCCGTTGCAATTGTTGTCGGAGCAGGAGATCGTTGTGCTTGGGCAGCACGTGCAACCATTGATGGCACCCCTCGCGGAACACTGCGACTGTCCATTCTATCGAAACGATATTAGTGCAAATTCAATACTCGAAGCTGGGTATTGCTTATTGACTCACATCACCTCCGCAAGAAGCATCGGTACATCGAGGCGGCTCGTCGGGGCACTTCTGGTTTTCATCGCATGGACAGCCAACCTCAGCCCCTGACGAGCACAGCTTTACGCTGTTGGCTCCTCCGCAATCAGCGCAGTCCTCTTTTGGATCCTTCTGGCACACTTGGTCGTCTTCCTCTCCACCATCTGGCAGCTCAGAGGGTGGTTGTATAGCTGCGATCGCTGCTGCCGCGCCAAACTGTTCTATTACACTTCAGTCAGTTGCCGTGCGTGCACAAGATACTCGGGCCAAGGGTAAAAACGGGAAGACATGAGCAAGACTCACCTGCGACCCACCACGCGATACCACCAGCTACGACAACAGCAACAAAAGTTTCCATATCGGCACTACTGTCGGTGCTCGTTGCGACGAGATCAGTGATGGTAACAGTCGTGCTTGCTTTCAAGCCGCTATACTCGGCTAGCGTGAGGGCCTCATAGACTACTGTCCCAGCCTGGCCGCTGACGGTGGTAATGGACGTGAGTTTGCCGGGGGTAATATCCACGGCGCCTGGGACGCACTGACAATACACACCGCAGCCGCCCGAAAACTGGCAGCGCTCCTGGCTTCCAGTGAACATGATCTGGTCGCACTGGCCGGGGACGACGGTATCGTTCCCACATTCAGAGCATGCTTTGGGGACGCCACCTCTCCACGATTTGGGACAGAGGGCGAAGATGAATTGGTCTCTCTGCTCGATTTCAGCAAGATGCCCCCGCGCGGCGTGCTCGTCTCTTTCTTTGATTATTTCTTGAAGGGCTGTTGAGGTCCAGACGCCGATGTTGCTGTTTGTTCTCGCAGGGATGGCGGCGGGAGCCGTGGGGACGGGGCCTGATTTTTGTGCTGGAGTTGATAAAGGGAGTACGTTGCGCAAGTCATATGCTCCGACATGGGAGAGGGGGAGAAGCCCCATGAAGAGTAGCTGCCTCAGACACAACATTGCTGGGGATATATGGATGAGGCAAAACGAGTGCCAGGAGCGAGTTTTCCCCTTCAAGAGTGGAATGCTTTTGCTCCTAATCGTGCGGATTGATACAGGGGCATTGAGCAGAAGAAGCGGGAGAGGCCTAATATACCCGTTTCCAAGGTATAAAATGGCCAAGGTTCTAAGAATAATAAAAGCACTGTGCTTCTGTATTTAGATCGTGTAAGTAGTCTTCTAGAGCCCCCAAGATCCTTAAGGAATAGTAGCATAGGGATCTAGACGGTTTTTAACGCCGGGCACATTCTTATCTGTGCAGTTGCGGCCAGGTGCGTACTTCCGTGGTCAATTGTACCGCAAAATTGGAGCGAATCAGAAGTCTTAGGTGGAGAATTAGAATGTATGATTCGCTGCAAAACCTCGCTTAAACACGCACGGACCAGTGTGCACCGGGTGTGACGGCTGGCGTAAGGGCATGATCTGCCAAGGACAGGATATCGGAAACAGGCACAAAACGAAGCTAAGCCGGAATTGCTTGGGCGGAATAATACTAAAGGTCGAGGCATCCTCCCTACTTTATTCCATAGCTTAGTATTTTCTAATATATGAGATTCTTTAAACTTTAAACCTTTGACTATTATATTAATCCCGCTATTATATAATACTAAGCTTACTTGATTTGGCCTATAGAAGTAATATAATACTGTGATGGGGATTTGATTGTTATATGGATTTCGGACCATATATAGGCGTTGGATGCGTGGGTGGAGGTAAAGAGGGTAGGAAGCTAAATAAGTAGAAGTAATAATCTTAAGACTCTCAGCACCAGTAATGAAATAATACGAATGGTCAAAAATAAGGGGCTCCGAAGGTTGATGTATTGGGATGGCTAATCGTACGTACGGACAGAGGTCTTATGCAACCCCTTAAACTAGCGCCAGTACGCCTGGGAAGCAGGACACGTGACGGTAGTCACGGGACAAGAGAGAAAAAAACCCCACCACAATACTACTAGTAAAGAACCTGTATTTATTTTTAGAAAGTAAAAACAAAATACTACTTTTAATATTTAATAACTTCCTTAAACTATAAAGAACTAGAGAGCTTAACTAGAAATATAATATCCTCTATAACCTAGTTAATTTCGGAGCCTAATTCTTAACTAGAATAGATAATATTTCTTTAATACTAATAAGAATAAAAGAACCGGCCTTTTCTTCTAATATAAGAAGAATTAGTAATAGTCTATTAATTTAAAATAAGAAAAAATAATATTCGGTTTTAGTCTATTAATTTAAAACTAGATAAAGTAATAATTAGTTATAGTTTACTAATATTAAATAAGAAGAACTTATTTAGTATTTATTTCTATAGCTAATATTTTTTCTAAAGCTATTATAAATAGTCCGGGGCCAAGTATTATTACTATAAGTATATTAGATAAAAGACTCTAATATAATAAAATAAAGAAGCCGGACTTTAATATTATAAACCTATATTATTAGGAAAGCTATTATAATTCTATTCAGAAAAAAAAGATATTAAGAAATATCTAGCTAACTTAAAACTCAAAATTAATATAAATATTTTAAAAACAGATAAGGCCTAGTAAAGACTATTTATATAAAATAACCTTATTAATAAATATTGCTTTATAGCTAATAAATAAGTAAAATACTACTAGAAATTTTACTTATATATTAACTAATTTACTAAAAAAGTTAATAAGCTAGAGATAATTACTAGTTAACTTTATATAAGAGAAAAACTAGTATAAGAAGAAATAATAAAGTAGAGATTTAAATAAATAAATATTTAGAAATATAATAGGTTCCTATTAGAAGAACTATTTAAGAGCTAATACTAAGGCTTCTTTCTGCTTTCAGTCTATAATAATTAACTATAGCTTATTAGAATTAAGAATCCTGCCCTATTTATAAATAAGAATAATTACTAGATTAATAATTAGATATTTGATATAAAAAATAAACTAATATAGAACTTCTCCGAATTTAATAATAAACTATTAAAAATTACTTATATAATATAACTAGTTACTAGAAATACTCGTAATTTTATTTATAATTAACTAGAACCTGAATTAGTTAGATAAATCTCGACTATTAAATAGATTTTTAAGATTCTTTAATAAGCTTATAATAAAAGTAAAGAAATAGAATACTAGAAAGTAAAAAAAATATACTAGTATCTAAAATAAAGAAATAAGCTATTTCCGGTATTCTAGATAAAGTTTATTTATTTAATAATAAAACTAGGAAAGTTACCGGATAATTAATATAATAATTTAATAAATAAAATAAATCTCGAGCTATTTAAAAGCTTAAATAATAAGAAGTTTAATATATCTAGAGGCCTTACTAAATAATATATAGAATAAGAGAATAGGCTTCTTTTAATTAAGAATAAGTAATTCTAGAAGAAATAACTAGTAGAAATCATTTATTATTAAATACTATTTTAGACTAGAAAGCTTATTGGAATCTAAGAAGCTATAATAATTCTATATTTAATAAATTAATCTTAGTAACTAGTATTTTTATAACTAAAAGAGGTAATTTACTAAGAATTTAAAAAGAAATTAGACTAGCTAGAAAGTTTTTATTATTATAGCTATAGAAAGTCTAAATATATAAAAAGTACCTGTTCTAATTTTAATAAAAATATTATATTTATTAAAGAGAATTATTTAGAAAGAGCTAATAATTTAGGAGTAAATAATAAGAATACTAATTCTTATTTATTATCTAATAAGAAATATAATATTAATAAGTTAGGAAAAGTCTAGCTCTAGATATAAAAGTAGTTCTTCTAGAATAAGAACTTTACTAAGAACTTATAGATCTTATTTAGCTAATTAGTAAGAACTAGTTCTTTATTAATTATAAAATAAGCTAGAAAGGCAAAACTATAATTTTCTAGTATTTAGTAAATACTAGAATAAATATATATATTCTAATTAACTAAAAATATATTTATTTCTTAATAAAAGTATTATAAATACTTTTATATAAATTTAAAACCCTTATTTCTTTACGAGATTTTAATAAATAACCTAATAAAGCTATTTAATATCTAGCTACTATAGATCTAGTTATTAATTAGTACTTCTAAACTTAATAATATTTGCTTATTACTAATTTTAGTTTTTATAATATAATTCTGGAAAGAAAATAGCTAATAAAGTATAATATCTTATTAGACTATTAATAGAATTAACTTTATTAGCCAGAGAACTATAAGGTAAATTAGCTAAACCTTATTTAGAAAATCTAATATTTTAATAAGAAATATTAAAAAAATAACTGCCCCGAAAATACTCTAACTAGGATTCTAAAAAGAATTAGTAAAACCAGACTCAAAAAATAAAAATATATATTTCTTATTTTTTTTATAAGACTTTCTTATAAGAAAAGCTAAATATTAAATAAGAAAAAAAGAGCTAAATCTTAATACTCTCGAAATAGGCAAGCTATTAGACTATTTCTACTATTTTATTAAAGTAGTTACTTTCTAATTAAGTACTAAAAACTCTAGTAATTTAATTAGATTAATTACTATTAATAAGATTAATTATATATTTAAGAAATAGAATTATAAACTAAAAAAATATTTATTATTATTTATAGTAATTAGATAACTAATATTATAGCCTATTAGATATTATATTTAAACTAGTAATTTAATATATTTCCTAAATATAAATAAATCTAATATTTTTAGTAATATATTATTTTTTAATTCTAAAGAACTTTAAAAGCTTTAAATATTTTTTCTTATATAGTTATATAATATAGCTAGGGCATTTTTTAAGAAAATAATAAATAAGCTTTTCTAGTCTTAATTCTTTAATTATAAGCTCCGTTTTAATAAATTAGATTCCTTAATAAAAATAGCCTATTTCTATAAAATAAGTTTTAGTAAATTCGAAAAAATAAAAAAGTATTTTATTAAGAATCTAAAAAAGAGTTTTATTAAACTATCCGAATTCTTCTTTTTATTACTAATCTTATTTATTAAAAAGAAAAATAGTAGCTTATAATTTTATATTAATTATTAATAACTAAATACTATAATAAAAAAACTATTATTTTCTATTATTTATTACTAAGATATTTAACTAATTAGCCAAATTATTAGTATTTACTAAATTAGATATTTAATATATTTTTAATCGAATTTATATAAAACTAGCTTTTATAATATAAATAGCTTTTAAGACGAGATATAAATTCTTTAAACTAGTAATTCTATTATTTGAATTTTATAATAGTCTAATAACTTTCTAGTAATATATTAATACTATTCTAATAGATTATTTAGATAACTTTTATTTGGCCTATATTAATAATATATTTATCTTTTTTAAGAATAAGAAGAAATATTAATAGTATATTAGAATAGTTTTATAAAAGTTCTAGAATACCGGGTTATAAGTTAATATTTATAAATACGAATTTGAAATCTCTAAAATAATATTCTTAGGATTTATTATTTCGGATTAAGGCATATAAATAGATTTTACTAAAACCTTTATTATTTAAAACTAGTATTAATCTATAATAAAAAGGGAAATATAATTATTTTTAGGCTTTTATAATTTTTATTATAGGTTTATTTAAGTCTATAAATATATTTCCTGCTTCTTAAATTATCTAACTAAAATGAATACTTTACTAAAGTTTATATTTAATAAAACCTAGCTAAATATTTTTAATTAGCTTAAAGATTTACTTCTCTTTATTTTTATATTTCTCTATTTTAAATATAATAAAGAAATCTATCTAGAAACCAACTATTTAGATCTAGCTATTATAAATATACTTTTTTTAAAAAAGCCTAGAAAACAAATAATAGTACCCGGTCTCGTTTTATTTTAAAGCTTTTTAAGAAACTAAAAGCTATTATAAAATTCATAATAAGGAACTTCTTATTATTATCTAAGAACTTTGGAAATAATAAGTAGAACTAATTAGCTTACTTAATTTTCTAATTATTACTAATTATAAAGCTTTCGAGTATTTTAGTACTAAGAGGCTTTTAAATAAATAATAAATCTAATAAATAGGTTTTCTATTATAATTCTATTACTAGATTATTTATTAGCTAAATAAAGATAATATTATTACTAATATCTTATCCCGAAAAAATAAGCTTATACTAATTTAGAAATAGGCTAAGGAAGCTAAAAGAACTAGATAAGTTATCTTATTAGACCCAATTCTTGCTTTTACTAAAATAAAAAATATGACTTATATTTCTATTAAGATAAAAAGAATAAATAAGCTATTTATTATAATTAAAGTCCTATAAGCTAATTAGATAAATCTAGCCCTAGAGAATAAATATAGAAAAGCCCGGAAGAATACGGATTTATAGGAAATATTAAATAACTATATACTTTATAATAAAAGACTTATTATATTAGATAAATATAATAATTCATAAACTAGGCTTCTATAATAAATCCATAATATAATAACTATTATATATTCCGGTTAAAATAAGACAAAAATTCTAGTTTAGAAACTTTATTAATAGCCTATTTTCTTTATAAATATTAATTGTTTTATAGTAAATTATTATAAATATTAAAGGTTTTATAAGTCAAGAAATAAAATATTAGGCCTATTATATTTATTACTAGTTTTCCTAAAAATATAAAATAATTTATCTATAGACTTCTATATTTCTGGTTCTATAAATAAGAAATATAATAATATATTTATTATAATTAACTAATTATTTAAATAATATATAAGCCTACTAATAACTAAAAATACTATAGCCAGAACTACTATTAGCCTATTTTATTATTATATCTAGTAATTCCGAGGTTTTTTTCTTATTATTATAAGTAATTAAGAACCCTAGTTTATTTCTGACTTTATAAATAAACTATTAAGATTAACTAGAATTAAGCTAAAGCTCTTAACTATATAATATATCTAAACTAATAAATAAATAGAAATTATTAACTAGATTATTAATACCCGACTTTATTTCTATATTAATTATTTCTAGTATTTAATATTATAAATACTTCCTGCCTATATAAATTAACTAGCTTATTTCCCTTAATAATTAATTACAAATATAAATCCAGGCTAAACTTTAACTAGATACTACTAATAATAGAGTTTAAAATACCGAGAAAGAAACTTAATTAGGAAAAAATATAATAATAATAATAATAATAATAATAATAATAATAATAATAGAATTATTATTAAGAAAAAAGATATTTAAACTATTTTAATTTATTATATAATAAGTTATTATAAGGTTAACTAAAGTTGCTTTTATATATATAGTATTGTAATATAAGACAACTAGTTATACTTGCTTTGCCTCAAAACGAAATATAAATAACACCGTTTTAATTAAAAAAAGATTTGGACCCCAGATTAGTTCCAGGGGCAAGGAACAAACCGTGTTCTCGCGGATGAGAATAGAAACAGTCGGTGGGGTCCATTATGGCTTGAGTGAGCATAGGCGAAATATTGCAGGCTTCCCGGAGTAAGAAATAAGGCCTATATAACAAGTTGAAACCACCCAGGATGTGATGCCTATAACTATACAAGTACAAATGATTGCTCTCGATCTCAAAAACCCTTTAGGCAAAGAAACTGGTTATTTTCTACTCACAGCTAGTCAAGACAAGTCGTCAAAGTCGAAACATCATCACGCGATACACATAGCCAGCCAGCCTTGCCATGAAGGCTATCAATTTTGCGGTCCTTTTTGTGGGATCCGCGAGCGCCATTATCGAGAGTATCGACCCGTCTTGCGGGTTCATTGATGCATTTCTTATCAATTCTGCGATCACAGACGCTATCACGGTTGCCACAGGTATGTTGCGTGTCCTTGCCAATATTGGCTTTCTGAACCATTAATCTAATTCCATTCTTATCCTTAGACGCCGGGACCCAATTGTCGACGTTCACCCCTTTCGCTGCCTCACTTGATGACCCGCGAGTGGCCATATACGATCCGTTGTTCAACCCTGGGGACCTACAAACAATCATCGGTATGTTTTATTGGAGCCTTCCTCGGAGTATGTCCCAAAAGCTCATCGGAAACCAGGCTACCTGAATTCCATTAAGAACATCAAGACCACTGGTTACAAAGTGAGGTTCTATTGTCAAGGCAGCTCCGGCCGTATTGAGTGGACAACAGATCCGGATACTAACCAGCCGGCCTGGTTCGACACGGACTTCTACCACAATGCACAACCGGATCAGAAACGAAGTATTAGGGTTGGCTCGATTCCGAACGCAAAGCCCCTGGGATCCTGGACGAAGAATGGTATGTGAACTCCACTACTACTACAACACACCCCTTTGGTGATCCCTTACAGATCCGACCATGTTTCTTGGTCTGATGGAGTGTAATTTAGGTTGGACAGTCAACGACAATTTCGACTCCAGCAACCAGGCACATATCCAGCTTGCTCAAAAAACGATCGACGGAACTCGCCTCCAAACCGACAACAGGGACTTTGCAGACGTCCGCTCGGGTGGTCTCTTAACAGGCACCAACTTCAATGTTCTGGATTACATCCGGCCACTGTCGCGCACTATACTACATGAGGTACGTTTCTTTCTGAGACCCTGCCGGCTTGACTGATTGATACTAATTCTGAACCACTAAGCTTTTCCATGTCGTGGGAGGGTGTAAGTGAAAGATACATGGCCCTCGAATTCAGGAAGTCGACGATAAATGGCCCGACCATACTAACTCTTACAATAGTGGATGCGAATAACAAGCCAATTGTGATTGATGTCCCGAACCCTAATGCGAGCCCTCCTCGAAACTACGGCACCTTTAACGAATGCATGTCGCAGAAAAACGCGCCCGTCTCGACAGTCCGACAGGCCGAATGCTTGACTATGCTTGCTGCAGGTAAGTCGGCTTCTATTGATGGTTACGAGTGACCTGTCAAATGGATTTTCGTCTCATGCATGCACAATTCTTGGCCCATAATGCTAATCACCAAAATTTCCAGGCCTATATCTCGATCAAATTCAGGGCAAACCCGCGTTCTGGAGTGTCGGAGTTGTCGATACGACCACGTTGCAACCCGTGAGTCTGCCTGCCGCGGGCTCAGCTGCGGTCCAAGCTCGGGCCATGGCGCCATTTAGGGTTCGGGGTTCATACTGGGGTTAGGGCTAGGCCTGGGAGTTTATATTTTGCTATATAGTAACGCTTGTAGCTGGATATAATATCAAGATCGCCGTGGCTGCGTCTGCCGAGATTGTTGCTTGTTGCCTAAGAAAACAAATGTCTCTTACTCTTACTAGTACTCCCATTAATATTTCCTAATATTCTTAATGCACGTAAATCTAGCAGAGTAGGGAGTTGCATTTGTGGTAAAAGAGTTGATTAAAGTTCGCTAGAAAAGAGCTCAGCTAAAGTATAAGAACTCCAGAATATGGCGTGCGGGAAATAAATAATAATCTTAATTCATAGGGCTTGGATTGAAGACTTTTGCAAGAGAGAGTGACTTGGCTTTTTTCAGCAGGACCAAACTGTTTTTCGGGTGTTTCTCTTGAGTGCTTTCGGCCTATACTTCGGCGGCAGATTTGCCAGCGTGGCCGCGGAGCAGTTTTAATTAATCCAGACGAGAAAGGAAATTAAAAACTCGTCCAACAGACGCTTATAATATATAGAGTTTAAACCTCAAAGAGGCAGCTCAACTACCCTTCATAGGGAATTCGATAGGGCAAAATCTCAATTGACGTTCGGGTTCGTCGAAAGGGGCAGGTCAAACGGCGGGGCCTTGCACTCGTATCTCACCTCAACCCGTGGGGGATCAAGCCGGGACGCGTCTGCGAGCCTTCCAAGCCATTCATGCATGGTGCTAAATGATGAAGGTTTCAAGGCCACATCCGCACCACTCAATAGAAACGCAAAATTGACTTGTGACGATCGGCCGGGAAATTTTGTTGAGTGCGATAGAGTGTTGGTACACGACTCGGGATTGATGTCTACGCCGTGCGATGAATTCAACAGTCAGCAAGATGAAGTGAGCTTCTGGGTCCTCAGGACTTACTGTGGTGATTAGACCGAATTCAGGTGTGTGCCAACAATTGAGAATGGGCTAAACGAAACGAAAAGCAGCTGGATTGGTTCATTCGGTCCCCATCCTGGGAGCTAGCAAGTTACAATACAATGTAGAAAGCGACAGCAGTAACTTCTCGAGATCGTACAACCAAGAAGAGGCAAGTGCAAAGCAGCGCAGGAGAAAGCAGCTCACAACTCACTTGCCCCTGACTTACTCCCCGCCCCCATCTTCACCCCCGCCATCAATACGACATCATTCCAGTTATTTGGCCTTTGGCGTCCACCAGGATACACCTCGTTCAGATACCCCTCGCATTCTCGACCCCAGTTCAGTAACAAATCCTCCGATCCCCACTCGCCCATTCCCATGATGCCAATCGGGATCCTACCTTGTCCTCTCACGGGATCAACGTAGCCTATCGGGCATGAGATTGCTGGATTACCACACAAGTTTGCCATCCACACGTACTCCATGTTGCGAATCGTCATGTTGCCATCAGAAATTCCGTGCTTGAGGTCTCCTTCCGAAGCGATTGGCCACCCCGAATTCGGTGTTGTTGGGGTGACGATAATCAGACCAGGGTGCTTCTGGTAAAGGAAGGCGAGATGCTGCATCAGCATATTACGCAATTGCTGAGCGAGAAAGTAGTCGACACTAGGAGTTTGAGCCCCGACTGCAATCAAGACCTTGTTTGCGGGATTGAGATCTTTGAGCCAATCCTTAGGATTCTTCACGTGTGCTCGTGCCCGGACAGCCATCTCAGTCAGGATAGTGAAAGACTCGGCTAGCTGTCCCTCCGTGACATAGGGTATGGTGATGTCGACGATCTCGTAACCGAGCTTCTCCTTGCAGTACTTGATCACATTGTGGCATAATGTCTCGACCGGGGCATCGGCACGCTCGAACCACTCTTTGTAGATGCCCAGAACCTTGGGGTAAGAGCGTTTGTTGGACTGAGGCGGTGCAAACAGAGCACAGGTCGGGTCATTGGGATTCGGTGCGGCTGCAAGACGGTAAGCAATTTCGAGGTCGGCAATCGTGGCTGCCAATGGTCCGGAGACTGTCACGGTGCTTTCAGTACCCTCGAGTCGATTGTGAGACGGCTTCAGGCCGTAGACGCCACAATACGAAGAAGGTAGTCTGATGCTTCCACCACCATCAGAACCAAGAACGATTGGACAAAGACCTGCAGAGACAATGTAGGCGGGTCCTCCAGAAGAGCCTCCTGTATAGTATTGGTCATTGTGAGGGTTGCGAGGAGTTCCCCAATTTGGGTTGTTGTTCGTAGTGTCCGCACCAAGCTCATGCATGTTTGCTTTCCCAAGAATGACTGCACCTGCTTCTTCCCACTTCTGTACAGGCCACGACGACTCTTCAGCGATCTTCATCACCTCGTCGTTTCTCTTTCTGCCTTGCGTCGTTCTGTATCCTTTCACGTCACTATCGTCTTTAATTGCAGTTGGCACTCCATCAAGTATTGACAAAGGAGTTCCTTTCTGGTATCGCAAGGTCGAGGATTTTGCGGCTTCAAGAACGGCGTCAACATGTGTGTCTATGAAAGCGATCGAGTGGCGACTTGTGGCCTTGAGATCTCTCCGAATAAGGGGAAGCAGTGATTCAGCAACAGCCAGGGGGGTGAGCTGTCCCGATAGATACAAGGCGTGGTATTCGGTTACAGAGTGGTATCGACCAGGGGTATTTTCAGGTAGTATGGGGGAAAATTCGGAGTCGAGTCTTCTGTCCTCAAGACTAGAGTCAGCGTCCACCAGGGGAATGACTGTCGGCTGCTAAAGTTAGTCATGTGACCAAAATCCAAAGCCACTCAAACCCACATCCCATCGCTCTGTATATCCTTTCAGATGCTTGAGATTTCTCAGAGCGCTGAAGCCGGCATTTGTCCATAGAAGTTTTTGAACGAAGCTAAGTTTGGAAACACTTCTTGAAGTCAGCTCAAACGTTCAGGTTAGGCTTGGTGGTTTGTCACGAACAGCCAAGCCCCAACCACCAAGAAGAAGCCCCGAAAGACGGGATTAGCATCGTCTGACTTGGTGAGTGGGAGGTGGGGAGCCTCAACTGGGCGAGGGTATCCGTAGAAGCGTTGGGTGCGGCTGTTTGGCTGCTCCATCTCCTTGGCCGAGAGCTTGCTGCTCGATGCGACGCGGTCAGATATTCCTCAGAAGTTGGTACAAATGAGCATCAATGACGAGCTGAAGGGTATTGCCGATCATATCATACTCCAAGCGCGATGCTTCGGGTGTGAAGTTGAAGCTGGATAGTTGAAAGCTTGGATGACGTTGGAACAATTGAAGGCGGAGATGAGGTTCGATGTTTCGGATCCCTCCGCTTTCAGCCGATAAACCTTAAAACTGCCCTAAACTTTAGCATGTGATTGTACCTGTCAGCCCTGAAGCGACTCCCGAAGTATACCCATCAGGAAGCTGCCTTCGTAGCCTTTATATTCAAGCCTCTGTATTGATTCTTACAAGAGTGTATTTGAAAAGGTTCTGTAATTTCAACGTTCTGAGAGTGACACGCTAGCCTGACATATTAGCTAAGCTGACACTCGGGCATTCAGTTCTTTGCCTGCGCAACTTTCAGTTCGCCTTCTCTTTTGGGTTGGAAAAGAAACAGCTTTATTAAACGACTAATATACTATACAACAGGCGAACGTTATCCTCCGCATTAACGCAAAAGGGGAACACAGGGTGAAGAATTGAAAACTCAGCCTGACGAGTTTTCCTTTCCAAAATAAAGACCCCGCAAGCCACGCTGATACAAACTCCTCCTTTCTGCTTCAGTGTTATTAATCCTTCAATTCCTGCCACGCCAAACTCCCAACCAGAGGATATGTTGGAGCTCAACCCATTCTGAAACTCCGCACATGATACGGCTTCCACCCCCTCTCAACCGGCTGGCAACAGCTCCAATCGGTCTCGCGATGGCTTGGTCCTTTGCAACCATATTCCGGGTACACTGCACGCGCATTAGCTCATCCTCTCCTACATATCAATGGAAAGACACATCACGCACACCACATGTCACTCATATACCCTCTCTCGTGATAAATCGATACCGTGCGAATGTCGATGTTGTAGCATTTCCGAACCATCGGGGAGTAGTCTTTGTAGTCCTCCTTAGGGTTTCCAAAAAGGTCGACACTGCGAAAGGAAGATGTTAGTATGGGTATTTGAGATATCTGTGGAGGGGAGGCACAAAGGCTTGCAGGGGGTAACATACCAGCCTGGCGCCTGGTATTCGGCAAAGCGGGGCGTTATGTTGTTTCCGTTAAGGTGGGGTACATGTCGGTAGCCTGAGGAGCTCGCAGTGGGCTGGGGTGCGATGATGAGAGCGAGGATGGCGACGAAGAGGACCGTGGGACACATGATGAGACGGTTGGTACGGAGAGGATGGACGAAAGTTGGGATTGGACTTTCGACTGCGAGTTGATATTGGAATACAAATTGATGAAGTTGCGGACGTATTGGGAACTAAAATGGATTTAAAGAAGTGAGAGGGTCTTGTCTACTGGGACTAGGGCTCTTTCTGCTTGATGTTTCTATTAAACGGAAAGACCCGCTCCAAGACCGGGGCTTGTGGTGAACCGGGAAAAAAAAGACGGTACTTAATTCTCAATGTACGAAGCCAAGTTGGAACATGTCAGGAAGACTCAATTCGAACGCCCCACCGACTTGTAGCGGAATCAAGGTCTACCTCATCGACTATCCCAGAAACACAGAAGGATACAATTCGTTCTTCACCATGTCCAGTCAAATATATGACTTCGACTTAGGACATTGAAATCGGCGCTGCATTCCTTGTCCACGGCGGGCCGGGACCGAAAATAAGGTGCCCGTGGTTTGGCGAGCGACGCTAAATTCATCCAAGAATTGGTGAACTCCAGAATACAGAAGAACGGACGAAATTGCAAATGGGTAAACATTAAATCTCTGTCAGCCGTGATCGCGAAAGCCGGGTGCGTGCTCATCTTATGGGAAAGATGGCTGGCATTAGCTGGTGAGAACGAGATCTTCGAGCGCAAAGCCCTAGCAACCACGCTCTCAAGGCACCATTAAAGCTTTTCAAATCTGGGCACCAGTAAATGGAGATGTTGGGACCGGAGATTTCAAGAGCCACTGGGCACCCATGCGTGAGTCGTGACACGCTCACGCCCACTACCAGGCAATTTGAAATTTGAAGGAGGGTCTGAAAGAGGAGTCTCAGAGGTCCCGAGATGTCATCTAAGCTGTAAACCAATTCTGAAGCACAGAGATCCATTGGGCTAGGTGCGCATGAATGCTAGCCCGTATTCATATTTTGGCTTTGGTGATGACTGGTGATGAATGAATGAACTCCAAACAAAATAACTCAATTGGATTTGAGGCGCCCGGCACGTGATAAAATTGCTTGGGCCTTTCTCCGACGTCAATTCATTGCGCCTCCCTTGGCAAACAGCAAACACATCCATCCAGTGCCACCCGAGCTGCGCCACAGCCCAAGTGACATCAGAAGGCTAAGTACTCTGAATCTCCTCGTCTTTCACTTCAACTCCATCTTCCGTATCTTCTTTCACTATCATCGTAATGTGTTTCGGCAGCAACCTCAAAGGCGAGGACCCGTCGTCGCGGTTGAACGGCGACTACGAACCCAACTCCAGACCCGTTGACCAGAAGTCTTCAGGACAACTAGGAACCTCTGTCAAGATGCCGAACGAATACGCTCCTCCGCCAGGACCTCCTCCATCGCATACAGAATATTCTCCACCGTCTGGTCCTCCAGCAGGTACGTTCTGCTTCTGTCAACAACCTCCATCTGTGGACATACACAACCCCTCGCAGCCTCGACATATTAAATACTGACATCTCCTAGGACATTATAACTATACACCTCCTCCCGGTCCCCCTCCTAGCCACCACGACTGGCAAACGGCCGTTCCCGATACCTCTCTCCTCCCCCCTCCTCCATCAATGGGCAACCAGCAAAGCCGTAAAAACAACGCAACCGAACAAGAAGCAGAGCAAGGAGAAACATGGTGCCAACAGAACCCTCTCACACAACCCATCACTTTCCCAGAAGCAGCACTCGAGGCCATCTCCCAAGGAAACATAGGACTCATGAAACCCCGAACATACCAAGGGACACTCGAGCGACCAAGACCAGGAGTCTGGGCCGGCAAGACAAAGACGACGTCTCCGGATAGTTGTATATTGAGTACCGTGCCGCTGTATTCTGTCATGGCGCAGTCGCCGCTGCGGACTGGGAGGGGAAAGACAGCATATTATGAGGTCAGGATTGCGAAGAGGAATAGGAGCGAAGTCTCTCTCGCTATGGGCTTCGCAGCACCTCCGTACCCGACTTTCAGATTACCGGGGTGGCATAAAGGATGTCTTGCTGTGCATGGTGATGATGGAAGTAAATACATCAACGACAGGTGGGGAGGCAAGGATTTCACATCTTCATTCAAACCTGGAGAGACGTTGGGAATTGGCATGCGGTTTACGAAAAGGGATTTGAGTGCTCCTCCTGCTTATGATGATGCTCGGCCGCAGACGCAGGCCCAGACGCCGCTTGATGTGGAGATTTTCTTGACGAGGGATGGGAGCGTGGCGGGCAGCTGGAATCTGCATGAGGAGGCGGATGCCGTGGAGGATTTACCGGTCGATGGATTGGAGGGGTATAATGATCTTTATGCAGCGGTGGGGACGTTTGAAGGTGTGGAGTTCGAGATTGTATTCAATGAAGGGGAGTGGATGTACCATCCATAGTGGTCCACCCAGTGAGTACATAAATCAACGATGACCTTTGTTGCGCGAGACTTTCTCGTTCTCTTTCTACAATACATTGGAGTTCAAAGAGATGCTCTCTCATCAAGTCTTCCGTATTTCAATAGTGATGGAAGACTATGTGGAATAATATACCTCTATTCAACATATCTCACTTGCATTCTCTTCCTCATCTTCCCCCAGAGCCTAGACATATCAAGAGTCGTGTCACAAACGGCATCTATCAAATAAGCCTAGGTATCTCTCCAACCGCGCCGCCAAGCAGCTACGGCTCCCGAATTCCAAACCTCATCTTACAAGCCACTCTTTTTCAAGATATCAGATCCCACCTCCTGATCTACACTTCCTCTTCAACCCCCATTCCGTCTCCAAAGACTCAAAGGTAAACCCTTTCGGCACTGTCCCCTCCTCCTTGCTAACACCAACCGGCAAATTAAGAACGCTCTGCCCATCCTCGCTCCCTAAACAATGCCTCCATTGCACCTCGTCTATGCCCCAGAGCTACGGGCCGAAGCACTTGGATCGCTGGGCCGTCTCCGCAGACGTGCTTTCGTGTAGCCTAGCTAGCTGGTCGGGATGGTGAAGAGCGAGGCGCGGCAGTGCGGCAGTGAGCGTTGCTCCAGACCCACTGCGGCGTGGAGGTCGCGAGGATGCCGCGGATGCAGAGGTGTGCGTAGGGGTCTGGCTTGGTGGTTGGATCTCTTTTTGGTGTTGAATTTGGGTTGGGGGAAGGTGCGTGGAATGTTGTTGTCCGCCTTTTCCCTTAGGAATAGGACCAATAAGGTGGGGGTTGCGGTTCCTTGTCGGCTTTCCTTGTGAATAAGTTTGGAGATTGGATATCGACGGCATCGTGTAGTGAGGCCGCCCTATCCACCACCTAGCTAGCGGACAAAACGCGGAAGCGAAAATTTGAAATTTGCGAATTCGCAATCTTTAAAAATTATTTAAAATAAACCACTTACTCTTATAATTAACTCTAAGCGCCTATTATATAACTTATAATAGCCCTTGGTAATCTAAATTATTTAAAAGTATAAAAATATAAAAATATAAAAATATAAAAATATAAAAATATAAAAATATAAAAATATAAAAATATAAAAATATAAAAATATAAAAATATAAAATAAAAATAAAAAATATAAAAATATAAAAATATAAAAATATAAAAATATAAAAATATAAAAATATAAAAATATAAAAATATAAAAATATAAAAATATAAAAATATAAAAGTATAAATCCCAAATACTTTTCTTATTAAGTATATATATACTCTTTACTTTAATATTTGCTTTAGGCTTAAAAAAAACTTTATTTTTAAAAGTAAATAAAATTATATTATAAGAATATATAAATAAAGCTATTAAAAAGAGAATAAATAAGAATAATATAATTTATTAAACTAATAAAAATAATAAAAGTAAGAGTAAAGTATATATATAAATAAAATTAAATAAGGCATATAAGATTTACTTATAAAAAAATATTAAAAAATTAAAAAACTAATTATTTAAAAGTATGCTAGTTTAATGGAGAGTATATGGAATTACTTAAGTTTAAGTAAAACGCTAAGTGGTTCTATTTTAATTAATTTTTAAAGATTGCAAATACGCGAATTCGTGATTTTTGATTTTCAAATTTTTGCTTCCGTGTTTTGTCTGCTAGCTCGGTGGCGTCCTCAGTACCTCCGCCACCAAGCCCCGCTACTTCGGCGTGTTTTCGCAGCCACAGGAATCTTTCCTTGTTGTATCGGTTGCGCTGTCATCAGGATTGCATTTCCGTGATCAAAAATACAGCGAATCAGATTTCTTAAATCAACGGGTTTGACAGTTTGATTGGCTGAGAAGATTCGCTTACCTGCGCACGGTCCAGTGTAATCCTGATGGCAGTGCAATATTCTGCCTTGGGTTCTGAATAATCAGGGAAGTAATACGAAGAGAGGTACCGGGATTGCGATTTTGAATCTTGTGGGACAGTGTGGACAGTTGTTAGGCACGAGAGTGTATCCGGCGAAGGATAGCCCATATTATAGGTTGAGGATGTGGGTTTGTGTGGGGTTTATGCTGTTTAATGGGGTGTTAGCGTTTGGGTTGAGGTGTCTTCTGATGTGGGAGAATAAGAAGCTGGATAGGAAGTATGGCGTTGCGAGGAGGGTAGATGGGGAGGGGAAGGTGGGTGTTGGTGATGAGAATGATGGGCCGAGGTTTAGGTATGTTTTGTAGTGCTGGGGCGGGGTTCTGGGTTGTCGTACTTCGTAATAAGGGGAGGGTTGGAAGTTGTTGACAGTAGTTTGACGATGAATATGTGAATTACTTGTGAATGGGCCACATTTAATCAGGGTGACAGAATCCCCGACCCCCACGACGATCAGAGGCCCCGCAAGGGTCGGAGTGCGAGCTCCTCCAAATGATTTGTTCGTTTCATATCCTTGTGGAGGCGCAAGTGCGCCCGAGATGCGCTGTCTTCTCGAACCTCCTCCTGCAGCCTCATGTAATCGCTCTGCTCTCTCCCAATTTCCTTCTTTCTCTCTCCTTATGTACATTTCTGATGGATAGACGTAAATAATCATCTCCGATTGAACTATGTTCTTCCGAAGAACACACCAATATCGGCCGACTCAAAATGCGTTTTCTACCACTGGCCGTGAGACAGTTCGGGGATCTGACGCACGAAATTCCTTTCCCCGATTCGTTACCTTCTTGAAGCAAATTCCATCAGTCCTTCTATCTTTACCACTTGCTGCAATAAGTTGCGCCAGGAAAAGCTCCCCCCCAACCTTCAAGTCATGTATCTCCGCAACTGCGTCTTTAATTTGCTGGCCCTTCCTCCGCATCGAACTGCTTTCCGCCATCCGCCACAACCGCTCCTTGCGAGCCGAAGCTCCCAAAGAAATCGTGAGGCACGACCGATGGAAAAGTATTGGCGTTTGTCTCATTCATTTGATACCAAGCACCATTACCTCTGTCCTACTCTTCTTGAACTTCTCCAACGTCTATTACGAGGCCGTGGGAGCTTCAAATCAAAGTGCACGACTCAATGCTCTCCAATTTGCCGCGAAAATGCATGAGATACTCATTGCTTCATCTCTATCTGCGATCGTTCTCAAACACGTTCAATACGAGCTTTTACAAGGTGGAGGAGTTACACTTGGTAGTCTGCTTGCGGGATTCCAAGTTACGGATGTCAGCTCGCTCTGGAGCCCTGGTCTTTGGGCTACAGTTTATGCTAGTAGCTTGAAAACCCGTCGCTTCAGGCTGGTTATTCTAGTTATTGTCATGGTTCTCTTGGGAGCCGTTGTTGGCCCCGCCTCGGCTATCTTAATGTTGCCTTCTGTGGACTGGTGGAGCTATCAGCCGACAGAGAACTGTTGTGTATCGAACATCAACAATCCTCGATACTTTGTCAGTGCAAACCAGTCTACGCTCTGGCCAACTTATATTAATGCTGCTTCATTTCCGTTAGATTGCAACTACCCCGTGGTTGAAACCGCCCCTGTTTATTGTCCTCTCGGCGGTTTCTTAAGTATCTCTTCCGTTTTCGACCTCGAACATTCGGCCTGGGTACTGAACTCTTCATGGAATTTTACAACTCAGACGCTCGGTACGGCGGACTCAACCTACAATCGGTATGTTGAAGGGGCCACGGTTTTAGGCGGATGGGTTGACTACTTAGTGCCGTCCTTGAGCCAAACGACTCCTTTGTTTGCTGACGACCTCCTCGTCGCCATTAATGAGTGGAGTGGTCAGGCAGATCATAACGTGAAATGGAGTCTGTCGATGCCAAAAGGCAGCCAACTCCTAGCCCCTGCGATATATACTACCTGCAGAACCATGGGTTACGAGTGGTGGAATGGCTCACTCTACGAAGTAGTGGGTGTGCAGGCTGACCCTGCGGAGACTCAGCCTTATGAGCTGCCCGGGGATCCATTGTCACAGTTGACCTTCCCTCTAGATGGAAATCAAACTCGGTCCTCTGATGCCTCCCCACTCTTAGCTATATGGAATAACTCAACCGAGAGTGCAACGCTGTGGGTTGCACCGCCAGATATCGGCGAGCTCAGTCCTTCTATTGGAGTTGTCTTTGCTGCATTTTTCAACTCGTCCGACCAATCCTTCCGATATTCCGCAAAGGTCGTAACCTGTTCGTTATTTGCATACTGGCAGCCTGTGGAGATATATATAGGCCCTTTCCCAGACACCTTTATTCACTCCCCAAGTATCGACTATCCGAATGCCGTAGTGGAAAACCGGGGCTATCTAGCGGACAAAACCGTTCGAGCGATCAAGTTCGATATTGATTGGGCAAACTCAGCACTCCCACCCAACGCAACAGTTGGACAGCTTGCCACTAAGGTTATGAATGACCCACAGCCCACCGATGCCGTAAACGTTGATATGGGCTTTTACACATCTGGCTGGAACCTGCCTTTGGGTATTCCAGTATCCATCTTTTTTGCCGACGTACTAAGCAGGATTGGCATGAAAACGGAGAAAATGGTGGGCCCTACAGATGACAACTCTTCAACTTTCGACAACATTGGATCTATTGGTGGGGGCCTTTTCATTAACAATAATATAGTGTCAGTGTCATTGTCGCAATTCAGCTTGGACCATAACACTACAGAGTTTCGAGCCACTCTGCTTCGCTACGGATATAGCTATTCAATGAGTGGTCTCACCCGACGCCTCGCTGCTGGAATTCTTCTAACTCATGTTTTGATTGCAGTTGTCTGCATGATTCTCTTTATTCGGTCCGGATGGAACTATCGTGGGTTACAATCCATTTGTGAGGTTGTCGTTCTAGCTATCAACTCACCTCCAACTGAGACTTCGGAAAGCACATGCGCAGGCATCTCTCGGCTAGACACCTACAAACATATTGTCAAGGTTGGAGAGATCTCCGAAACGCAGCTCGGGTTCGTCTTTGATGACAATGGGGGTTTCAAAGCTCCGCTGGCGGGAAAGAAATACGGCCGGGTAATGGACCAGCGCAGTAGTGTTGCGGAACAGAGTGGGAGTGAGCTTTCAGCGCTGATTGGAAATGAAAGGATGCGTAGCAGTGATGCAGGCGAAGTGTTGTCACTCAGAAATGTTCAACTTTGACTCCTCAGCGAGAATTGTCCAGGAAGACGTTTTGAATATTGCACTCTGGCAAATTGAATTCCTTGCCTCTACATCTTATATCTAATCTTCTTGTTGCTCTTCCAAAGCGCACCCCAGTTCTCTCTCCAGTTTAGCCATATTCTCATCGGTCCATCTATCATCGCCGCTATCAGAAGGGTCAGGGAGGGAGTAGAGCACTAATTCTATTAACATGCTCCGAGTGATATCGTCGACACGTTATTAGTTAGTCTGATCTTATAGAGGCTTAGAGGATTAGGGGAGGTCCTAGGGTTGGGCTTGTATAGGAGCAAAAGGCACGCGGTGCTCCGAAAGATTATTTTACCAGATAAACCCAGCTGTCGCTGCTCCTGCTGTGACGTTCGCACATTACACTGTCTTGGAATTTTTGCTGTCCGCAAGGATATTCAACAGCCCCGTTGCATTCTTCGGAATAGATAAAGAAAGTGTTGAACTAGCTAGCTTAGCTAGCTTTCCAGTCCTTCCAGCACCAGGTTTAACCATTAATTTAGTCCGCCACTACTCTCATTTATAATGGTTCAATATGGAAGCTCAGGGAACGCTCACTAATATATAGTCATCTGCTTTATCAGCTGATTTATAATATATCGGAGGAAAGCGCCACCCATATCGCCGAAGGCTAATGGGTATAAGAACTGTACTTTAGACACTTTCCTCTCCTGTTTTACTCTTTACTCTCCTGTATCTAGTCATTCTACAGATTGTCAACCTCCAATATATCGATTTTGCACCAATATATCGATCACTTTCCAATAGAAAGCACTGCCGTCGAGCTCACCCGAATTACGCTCATTGAAGCATTGGATGCTGACCCTAATACGCTGGGAAGTGTCCAAGACTACGGCAGAGATAATATAGCACATATTGTTGCTCGGGATTTCAACAGCTATTGCGTTGCCTCGGCCGTCCTTAGCTTACACTTCTGGAGGTCGGCCGCTTGCAGGGGTTTTCAGGTTACAGATCGTTCCTGAATTTCTTCTTTCCATTTCACTTGTTTTCTAGCATTATAAAACGGAAGATTTATTATCTAGAACCGTACTAGATATGTTCTCTCCGCAGTCCTCCGCGACTAGTAGTTTCTCGTCTAGACGCGATGCTCCCCCTCTGCTTTCAATTCCCTTCTCTTTATATTGGTCTTTGCGCCAGTACTCTGGCAAACCTTGCACTACGAATAGGCATTACTATCTTCTTATACTTATTACTTATATGCTTTCTAAAAAGTGGCGTGCCATAATTTACCAATGCAACTTTGATTATAGTATTAATATTTCGCTCCTTTGGTTTATGAAATATTTTAAGAAATACTAATAGCCAAGAAAAGCTCTTGGCTAGCTTTGCCCGCGAGTGGTCTAGGACTTTAATATCGATTACAATATATAGAAGTGGGATGCCTTGAAGTATTAATACGAGGATACTGAATTACTCTTCCTCTATTATTGCATCTAAGTAGGCTTTGAGACGGGCGGCTGGCGCTATATTGGTATGAATTGATTTATTTATACGAATTACTTGAGAGACCAGAGTGTGGATACCTATAGCTCATTGTGATGCCTCTTTCCGTCTGGCGATCTATATAGCTGCGATGTTTCCCCTCCCTAGAAACCAAGTTCATACTCCACCAGCATAACAAAGCTCAGCCAATACCTGTTGGATGGGTACTGAGTGCTTGCAATAACATGGTTTCTCAACAATCTTTACGGAATCTTGAACACCAAGGCAGACAGGCAAGGACCTAGGAATATCGAATCTATCGTTCCATCTAACTTGCCGCTTAACTCGGGTTGCTGCCAACGAGAGAAATGAACATCACGTACACGGCTCTCAGCAGGGAATGACAAGCAGCCCTGCTAATGGGATGCAATGTTCAACCTCCATGTTCGCGAACAGATCCAGATCACTTAGTAGAAGATAGTATTCTCATCCATGAGGATAGGGTGAGACCGGGGCTGCAGGAACTTGCTGCTTCACATTCACATCTCTGCGGTGCTTCACCCGACCCCACGACGTATCGAACGGGAAAACAGCCACGGGGAGAGAGTCATAGAAATCCATGATGCATTGAGGCCGTTCCTGCGTTGCGATGGAGCTGAGCTGACATGCATCGACAGATGGCGAGTTAAGTATCGTCAAGGGAACGAAAACGAAAGAAGAAACTCATCCCAAATCAGCAATCCATCCATCCATGCTAATTCCAGATCCCGAGTACCAAAAGAGTGTATATCGTCTCCCCAACCCCATTTCCCCTCACTTCATCCCCCGTCATCTTTTGTCTTACAATTTATCCTCCACCACCGACTCCTCCCATCTCCCACTACACCGCAAACAGCGCACGTATCATCTTATTCGCGGCCTCCGCGTTGCCACCAAGATTACTCTGCTCGCTAACCTCCGGATAGAAGAACGCCGCGACGGCAATAATCACATACGCCGCACACAGCAGCGCGCCTTCCAGATAGTTTGACCTCCCATCCAGCACCAAGAAGTTCACAATAAACGCGCTCACAAAAAGACTCACAGTCTCAAAGAGCGTAAAGTAGAGCGACATCTCCTTGCCCATGCACCATCCCAGCAACACCACGAACGGCGTGACGAAGAGCGCGATCTGGATGGATGAGCCGACTGCAACGCCGATCGCGAGATCCATTTTGTTTTTCGAGGCGACGGTCACGGCTGTTACGTGCTCGGCGGCATTGCCGACGATGGGGAGGATGATGAGGCCGATGAATGCTTCGCTGAGACCCGAGTTACTTGATACCACGGCGTTGATACTGTCGACCATGAACTCGGCACAGACGGCGACAAGGCCGGTCGAGATGAGAAGTAGGAAGATGGCGGTGGTGCGGGAGATGTTCTCTTCTTCGCCCTCGGGCTTTTCGTTGTTGGCTGTGACGGCCATGGATGAGACGCCTGCTGGCGGTATTCGTTGACCTTGGCCAGCGGGGGCGCTGAATGTCTGGTGTAAGCGGTCAGGCAGCGAGTTTGTACGACGAATTCCGTAACGGACACGAGGGATAGGTCCAGCGGTTGGGGCTTGTTCGGTGTTAGGCGTCGGCTGCGTGAAGACGTTCTGTGAGAAGGTCTCTGGGATCCTAGGACGGATGGACGTCGTAATTTTGCTGAGAGTGGAGTGTCTGCTTTTCCAGGCATCACTTTGCATCTCTAGTTCGCTTTGAGGCTCCACGACTGCGAAGTCTACACGACGGGGTGCATCCAAGTCTTCGGCGGCCTTTTCATTTGTCGCGGTGTCAACTCCCTCAGCGATTGTATCGTCTCCGTGACGGCGTGCCTTCTTGCGGTTCTTCTTCTCTTGGCGCTTTCGTTCGCGTTTCCGCTCTTTCTTAGACATCGTGTGGACAGAATTCTTGCGGCTACGGCGAGGATGTTCGTCATCTCCATCTTCAGCGACGTCAATAGCACTAAAACGATGACTGAAGTATGCTGGCTCTTCGGTGAATTGATCGGTTGGCAGGGGAGAGATGGAACTGGTGCCTAAAGATGGAGTCCGGGTTGCGTCCATCACATCAGCGGTCTCCTTAGATCCGAAACTTGACTTGCGGCGACGGCGTCCAGGTTTCATCATCCGGCGAATGCGCTTTGCGGTTGTATTCGAACCGCTGGATCCGTCGGAGTCGGAACTGGAGCTGGAAGAACTGTCGTCCGAGGAGGATTCCATCCATGCTGCTACTGGACCGGGGGCAGACTCTTCGTCGATGATGTGTTGAGGGGTCGACTCGTACATGTATGCGTGGGACTTGAGTTGGAAGAGAAGGTACATCCCATAGACCAGGAGGAGGACCTGAACCGTTAGCTGGTGAAAGAGGATAGCTGAAAGTTACTTACCACACTGGTACCACGGCTGACTTTCAATACTGAGCTCGTTGCTTTGACTTGCTGGTCGCTACTGAAGGAAGCATGGAAAGCGGTCTGGAGGGTCAGCACGGAATCGTCGAAGGACACAAGTAACATACAGGCAACAGCAGACTCATGACGCTGAGACTGAGTAGACATGCACTCATTTGCGTGACAGTGCTATTGTAGATCTGGGGAGGTTAGCATAGTTTTGTTGTGACATTCAAGGGCATCCTACCTGCTCACGGAAACGAAGTCCACCAATCAAAAAACACATGCCTAGAATCAGGAGCAAATTGGCAAGAATGGAGCCGAGGAGGGAGGCTTGGACAATACGAATTTCACCCTGACCTCATTAGCAGGATCCAACCATCTTTGGATAATAGACGCACCTTTGCGAGAGCAATGCTGTGCAGTTAGGAAAACAGGTGAGCATAGGTCTTGTAAAGGTCACGCGTGCATGGGGAACGAAAGAAAGGGACGGATGATATGGGACGCGATTGATATGATAATGCCTTTAAGAGGGCTTCTCGCTCTTTCTTGTCTTGATCTCTCTTGGGAGACATACATGCTGGGGAAGTTAGCAGAGGTCTTGCGTCATCAGGGGATTTGCCATACAAAATAATCAATTCCACAGCATTGCCAAATGTAACGTTCATTAGTGCGCCAATGGTATCGCCCATCCTCTTGGCCACGCTTTCGGTAGCATGACTGAGTAATCCTGCCAACGGGATGATGGCAACCGCGTTCATACCAAATATGATTCCCGGTTGAAGGCCTGCAGCTTTGGAAGCTATGCCAATGGGGACAAAGACCAGCAAGAGATTGATATAGCTAGACAGCATGATGGCTTTACCCGTGAGCCAAAAACGCATTGCGACATTGTGTTTCTTGGGGGCTTCATCCTCTATGACAGCCCCCTCCCCATCAGCTTGCGGAGGTGGAGCTGGTGGCGGATTATCGGACGATGTATTGTCGGCGACGTTGTTCGCGGTTGGTCTTGAAGACTGGTGCGCGATGCCATGTGCGTCGGTCGAGGGGAAGGGAGGCACTGTGTCATTTCGGAGGGCATTCACATTCGAAGCAGTGGTCGAGTTGCTTAGGGGGAGAGTCGGAGTTCGGCTCGAGCTTTTGGAGAGTGGAGAGGGGCCATGCGCTTTGGATTTAGCCCAAGAGCGAATGCGATCTATATACGAGAGTGAGTCGGACGAATCTTTCTTCATCGATGTAGAGACACGCGAGAGCTTCGTGTCCGTGGAGGAATTGATGAGGGGTGGTGCCGTTGGAAGGGCGTGGGGGGGGGAGGGTGAGGTTGAAATAGGAGAGAGGTGCAGGAGGAGAGCACCAGAGGCGACTGGTGATGACTGGCACTGGCACTCTGGCACTCTGGCACAATTGGCGGTGTCTGCGGCCCTAAGATAAGCCTGCAGCAGCTGCAGGGAGTGTGTGCGCCGCAGCTGTGACGCTGAACTGATGCCAAGGAGCGACTACTGTACTATGGGGGATATTCGCGTTCGTGTGCTGCTGATTCGATGAAGGCGACGGAGTGGCGCAGAGCACCCCAGGAAGGCGAGTGAATGTATGTGACAGCTCGCAGCAGCCTCAACACAGTATCCAGAGCGCACAAATGCGCTGTTGAAGCCAGATGAGATGTCTTGGTGATACTGATGTCTATCTCGCACCGACGGCGTGGGCAGCTGCCGGTGTTTGCTCGGACCACGACAGCTCAAGCGCGAGCGGTGACCCTTTCGAATCCGGTGATGTGATGTGACGTGACGTGATGTCGATGTTTCCGCGAAGTGAGGCATCATGGATCATGGATGCGAGGAAAGAGGGGAGGGAGACCCACGCATAACTTGGCGATCACTAATGTGAATCGTCCCTGAGAACAAGCACCTCTTAATCTCGTTCAAGCTTCACTCTACCTCGGAAGATCTCGTCCCAGTGCTCCGGCTGTGGCTGGTGGGCTGTGGCTGGTGGGCGGCAGTTGATAGGGCTGGATGTCACTCCGTTGAGGTCAATGGAAAAGTCGGCCAGCGCGTCGGTACTTGCAATGGGCACGCGACTCCAGGAACTGCGTTTGTTTATCGTAGCGGCCCCGAATCTTAACAAAACACCAGAAAGTATGTTACGAAACTTACGATGCGCGGGGAGCGGCAGGAGACAACATCGAAATTGACTTTGCCTCCGTATTCCACGCTGCCAAGGTGCCCCAAAGCAGGTATTCTCATTTGTGCGCCCTCCAATCGCTGTGATTGCCAAGAGATGTCCACTGCTTGGCATCTCCATTGCAATCCAGATCGCGTCCTGGTGGCAGTGGTAGCAGAACTTCGCGACCCTCTCTGCTGCTGCTCTCTCGTACTGAGTCCTGACAGTCACATCATCTACAGATCGCCCCCTTCGCTGTCTTCTGCATCGCTTTGCTTTTCCTTCCTTGCCCGACCGCCGCAGCCGTGCCATGACCTCTCCAATCACTGTTAGCTCCAGAAGCAACCTCGCAATTTTAGTGAGGTTGATCGTGTGGCTGGTGCGCCCTGCAAGGCTCTCCGGGTCGCGTTTACTGGGGCTCGAAGTCTGCACTGCCACAGCTGCGGAAAGTACGGAATACAACATCGTCATCGAGCAAGGCTGAAGGTGGGCCTCAACAACTCTGACTCTTCTCCTTATCTGCATCATTCACAATCTTTGACTTGATCCTTGGTATATTGCCGGTCTCTCTCCAATGCTCGTACATTTCAACTCGAAAGAGAATGTTCCTTGCTCAGTTGGTTGAAGTGCGCCTAGCAATGTCTGGCGAGTTTGCCTAGTCTTCAATCACCTAGCACCATTTTTTTTCAGCTGCCATTGGTACCACCTTGGAAGCTGAAGGCGAAGCCAAGCAATAAACTATACACTGCAGTTTTTGTATCGTGGACGTGGTCACATGGACGACAAAGTAATCGCTGAGTTGACGGAATCGTCAAGTTTACCATCCACTACACGATACAAGAACATCTATACTAGTGAAAACGACTAAACAAAATGTCACACAAATTGGAGGGATAGCTCACATCAAGGGCCTGCTCCGCTGCCTCGCGCCGGAAATCTATCTCGCGCTGAGATACAATGAAGCCTCAATGATTTTAACCTATACGGTGGAACATATGCTGCGATGAGCTGCGACGAGCAGAAATCCAGAGGGTAGCAAATTGCAAACCTAATTAAAATGAATATAGCTGACACCACGAGAAGGGACAAATGCCTTACATGAAAGTAAAACTCATGATGAAGGACAAAACTTGCAAATTCAAGAGTCTCGGTGACAGAAGTTGAGAGGCTGAATCCGTAAGCCAGAGGAATGAGATCTTCAACACAGACGTAGGGGGGATATATGTCTGTTTCAGCTTTACTGATATCGTATCCATACAACGTCAGTCAACGAACCACGGAGAGGATATGCGATACAGCCCTACTGCCGGCCCAATGTCGAAGTACACATAACATCTGCCGTCTCAGGCTCTTCTAGCAATCAGTCCCGCAATGGCGATGAACTGTTTGTGGTGGCACTGGTGGGTATTGCACTCTGGCAGGAACAAAGAGAGCTATGCCACCAGTGCTTCTTGTCTCACCCGAGGCCAAAACAAACAGAAGACGACCTTTCTCACAAGCTCCAGACACAATTAGAATGCACAAATTACACTTACATCTGCTAGGGTTAAGTCTTGCGAAATCGTCAAGTAAAATATCAGGAACTATAATAATACACTTTGCTGGGAAATCTAAAGATGTTCGTAACCCGGCATCATTCTCTTCAACCGCTCTAGTCAACAATTCCAGATCACTCACACTGCTTTCTCTCCGCTTCCTCCGCTGCTCGCTGTGCAGCAACGGCCTCCGCAACATGGCCCTTCTTGACAAAGCGTTCCTCCACAACCTCCTTGTTAAGAATCCTTAGCTGAGCGATCTCAAAACCAAGGAACTGCTTGACGGCCTTCACGTTAACCCGGTCAGCCCGCATATCCTCCCTGATCATCTTCAACATATGACGGACTCGAGCCTCGGTGTTCTCAAGTTGATACTCGAGGATCTGTCCATACAGGGAGGGCAGGTGGGAAGTGGGTCGTACGGTTGTAAGGCGGGTGTCGTCCCGGACAAATGGGGAACGAGGGCGGTATGAGGTAACCATGGTGATTCGCTCTTGGCCACCGAGGGTAGGCAAAGCTGCATGATCAAGGTAGCGGCCTTGCATGACCACGGCACATCCCTTCTCTGGTCAGTGGGTTCTTCTTCGATAGAAGAGAGTGAATAACTCACTCTCTGTGGACCGCGAATTCTCTTGATTTCACCCGTGCCCGTCTTGATCGCCGTCTCGCCACCTACCATCCCGGCCGTGTCACTCAACATGAGAACACAGACAAATGGATAGCTGTCCTTGTGCCAACCAACAACCGCATCCCTCTCTTTCTCGGGGACAGTCTCGTGATCAAGTCTCTTTCCTGGGATGGAGACATTGATATGTCCAATTTCGTAGTCAATGTTGTGAACGAGGTCGACGCCGGCAATCTCTGAGACAATCCTGGTAACGTCGGGGTGGCTCCACGCTTCGAAGGAGAACTTGGCGTGTCTGCGAAGCGGTTGGTTGTGTATCAATGAAAAATAAAATATGGAGGACTTACTCAGCGGCATAGCCACGAAGCTGAAATGGCGCGAGATCGCAGCCAAAGAAATGCTTCTCCTGGACAATGTCGGAAAGAGCCTCTTTTCTCATGATATCAACCGCTTCCGGGCTGAACAGCTGGAAGGGCTCAGACGCTGCGATGGGAGCGACACCAATATCGGGAAGTCCGAAGCTCTTCATGGTGTGAACGGCAGTTGGCTTGACATATGAGAGGTGAGTCTTGGGGTTGAAGAGGGTTGGCATGGACCTTCTCCAGACATTGGCATCGGCGAAGGCTTCAACCTGGCGGTCGTCGGTGGTTTGAGACGCAACATTCATTATAAAAGGCATTGTTAAAGCGGAGTTGATAGGAAACCGCAAGGGGAATTGAAGGCGAAAACGAGGAAAGATATATAGGAAGGGGTGAAAAATGAGTTGAAGGGGGAGTTGAAGAGGCAGTTGATGGTTCTTCTCTGGTCAGGGTTGTTGTCTGAGATCAGAAAGTGAGAAGGGAAAGCTGCGCAAGAACGTCTTTAAATTGACGAAAGCTCGCTCGCGGAGGGAATCAAGTGAGACGAAGCTCGAGTAAATCGCACCTCCATCGTGTGAATGAATGTTGATGCTTCGTAAGATCGGACGCAGCTTCGCAAAGATTCCGATTTTGGGATATCAACTAGATCTCTTCAAATTGTCTATTTTCAACAGTTCACCTCGAAGCAGAATGGAGTTTTCCTTGCCGAGAGATCAATAAGTATGCGTCTCGTTAGAACAAAGATTGGCACTGCCCATTTGCAGTCATCCACGAAGATACTAACACCTGCAAATATGAATCGTCGCTTGTCATCAAAAATAATAGCTGATTACATCATTCAAGCAGGTGAAGAAGTGTGGCTGCTTCTACGCGAGTTTGAAAATTCCCGAACATTATTGACAACGAGTCATCCATTTAACCGCTAGCGGAAGCATGTCAGCCAATGAGTATTTCAGCCAATGAGTATTTCAGCCAATGAGTATTTCAGCCAATGAGCATGTCAGCAACGCAGTATGTCAGCAACGCGGCAGCCCATGTCAGCAAAGTAGCACGTCAGCAAAGGGGCATGACCATAGTCAACCACACTACGAAGGCGCACAGTTTTGAAACCGTTTCATTTTTAGTGGGGTGGGGAAGATCAAAATCTCACACTTTGAAAAATTGCGCATCGCAACGTGGCCCCATCCAAATACTTTAAACTCAGCTCCAGGCAAAAGAGGAGAAGCTCAAGAACCTTTCCATTGTATTTTAGTGATTCTAAAATTCTAGGATCATAAATCCTAGTTTTATTGCGACTTTTTAAAGACGAGGGGACAGTTTTCGAGGAACTGGCTTAGCGAAATGCGAAGTGGACGATTTTCAAAACTGTGCGCCTTCGTAATCCGTTCCAGGAGTAAGTAAGAGTCGACGTTTAGGGTATTTCCCTACCATAACCATTGCCTTCTCTCGAATAGTCAATGTGGATCACGATCACAGGATTCCAGATGCTGACCACCGCTTTTCACGGAGGCAAGAAGATAAGCCAGAAACTTGCCTTTCTACCGACCATAAATCCATGTGAATAAAATGACAAACACATTTGAAGATTTGTAAAGAAAGAATCTTGAGCCACTCAGCGCATACCAGTCAAGAGAAACTGTTGAGACTAAGGTGAAGCTTCTCCGTGACCTCATGCGTCCAATTATAATAATATACATTAGGCTCCACAATCTCCGATTCTCCCGGCATTCCGTACATCCAAAGACTTCCAACCTATGCGCTGAGCTCGTCTAGTCAACTTCGATCAAGGCTGGCCCAAACAAGGTACTCGCTGCCACATCAGCAGTAGAATTGAACCTCTTGTTCGCACCCGCAACCAAGGCGCCCAGTGTGAGTCCCCTATCAAAACCACTCTGGTATGGGAAACTTGCCGCGAAGGTCGTCTTGTTGCCCGCCATCGTGACATTGCTAACCCGCACACTAACCGGCAAGTTTTGCCCTGAAATATACACCAAAGTCGCATTCGCAGCACTGACGGCTCCGGATACGGAGAACGTCTGCACGCTATTGTTTGCCCTTGGTGTTGACTCTAAAGTCAAGGCCGGGAAAGCCTTGAGGCCAATTACCTCAATGTTTGGGCAAGAGCCTGGCACGATAAACTGGCTGATGGCTGTGTATGCAAATTGCGGGGCGCCACCTGTGAGAAGAGGAGCAGCCGAGGCAACCTTCTTCTGAAGGAAACGGTAGTAGCCGCTCTGTTGTCCTTCTTGGCCGATGATCGATCCAACAATAGGAACAAGAGCGGCTTCGTCTCCTCCATCAGCTGCAAATAGGCCTTGTGCAGCGGGAAGGACCCCCAAGACCACATCGGTGAAGGTTTGCGCGAGAGCAATCGCGGAGCGGAAATCAGAGACAGGGAAGTCGTATTGGCAGGGTTGGATGGTGGTTTTGTTTGCACTGGCTAGGACTCCGTTGGCGGCGAGAACATGGACTTCTTCCTGCTGATATGCGAGTCAGCACCGGCACGAATTAAAGAGATAGTAAATTTGGCTTACATTGATAACGGAAGTGAGAGTATCAATGATATATTTGTGGTTGCCATCGCTGTACCCGCGCACTTTGCTCGTGATATTGTGGACGAGCTCAGTGAAAAACGCCACCTCAAACAGCTCATTGGCAGCAATGAGTTGGAGTGCCTGGACACCGTTTGGCTTCAAGCTGCTAGGAAGGGCTCCATTGGGTGGGGTCCCACCGGCAAGCTTGTAAACCTGTTCCATCTCGGTGGAATTGAGATTTGGAAATCCATTTGCCAGTGGGTAAGAGAAGGGTGCTGCGGCGGCTAGGCCGGCAGATGCAAGGAGTAGAGACGAAGAGCGCATTCTGTTGTACAATATGCTCGGAGTAAGAATTGGGTAGGGTGTTTAGAGGAAGGGAAAATTTGAGGTGAAGGTGAAGGGCGGAGAGTTTATATACATCCCTCGCGATCGCCAAGAGGCATGAGCTTGACATCATGGGTGAATAGGAGCTCGTTCCTGGCAGCGGTGAACATCCAAGTTCTCCCCTTCCTTCAGCGGGTCGTTGATAATGATGCGTAGGATTGTCAGCTAGCGTCTCAAATACCATAAGGGTAAATTCCGTTTTAAGCTCGAATATTCCCGAAAGCCAAGCGTGCAGATCAAGCATGAGTGCGGGTTGAGTTCAATCGGGGCATCGGAAAGAAAGCTTCAATGGCAAATCGCCTTGCACTAACCACAGACGGCTGCAGGTTTTTGGATGCGGACAGGACGCCGTTGGTGGACTAAATCCATCCGAAAGACAGATGTTTCTTGGCAGGCACCATGAGACACTAAAGCTTTCACCTCCGCACTCCATAGTCTATTACATCACCAGCGTCAGTGACATAATAGACTGGCGGCAAAATGACAGTGTCCAGTACGCAAAGTCCAGAAGGCTCACTTATGGAAGACAAAACAAAAGCAGAGCCGAATTTTCGGTGTTCCAGGCCATCTTGGACCAAATGCCAAATATTGACTGAGGACACTGATAAATAATGCCGCTTTTTCATCCATCCTGAGGCTTACTCGTGGAAGCGCCTGGATCTTTGAATCAATCTCTGCGCAACTGAAGGTTTGCCTGCTGCACGAGCTCTTCTCTTGTAGATTTGACATCGACGGAGGTATCATGAAGCGTTGGGTGTTCCCACAGCGAATGCAAAGGTCTCCTTCAGACCTGCTGTTCTCCCATGCTTGATCTGGACCCGAATCCAATTACTGATAGACAAGCCAAGTAGCATCAAAATATTAAAGACCAGGACAGCCACGAAAAATTGCCATATTCTCGGATTCGAGTCGCTGCCTGATATTTCAGAGACATTCATCCCGTATACTCCCGCTATAATCGTAACTGGGGCAAATCTGCGAAAGTCAGCAAGCAACAATGTTTGGGAGAGATGGCCACATACAAGTAAGTAAACGCATTGGTCAGGGAATTCCACCTCGCCTCTCTGTCTCTCTGCCGTACCGCTGACATCTTCTCTCGTGTTTCCCATAACAGATTGGTTTGCTCTACCAGGTGCTGGAAATCTTCCTCAAGAGCAGCCTTGCACTCTCTCGTTATTGGCTCGTCTTTCCCAGACCACCCGTAGCTTCCACCTCGCTTCACAACGTCTAGGGTTTTCTTGATCTCTTCTGCATGCCCAATTGTGGTATCCGAAATGCCGTGAATGCGGTGATCTTCTTCGCGGATGGCGGTGATGATTTGGTTCCAGAGGAAGCAGTCAAGTCGGAGGAGGAACGATACACCGTAGAGAGGGGAGGTGGCTACTTGTGCCAGGTCGACGGACTCAAAGGACTCGAGGTATATTTCTCTTATGGATTTGGGTCGGAGAGGTGTGATTGGAGGCAGCTCGGATCGAAATGGAGGAGGATCGGAGAGGAGTCGTGGGGAGAGATTGATCTTGGTATGTGTGCTGAAGAGGAAGACGCCTGGGGGGATTAGCGTAGTTTTGGCAGATGCGGAGCCAACTTACCAGTCCATCCGTTCCCATCCTCGTCCGGCTGCGAGGGAAGTTAGAGGTTGCCCTCACCTTGGACATTGAACGCACCTGAATATACACCAGAACCTTGAACTTCTCTGCATCTGTTGTTCGAGCAGTTGATGCATCTAATATACCGAATCCCAAACTCACATATGGGGCTTTGTGCCGCATTGAAGGTGTGAAAACATGGCCTTTGCTGTGTATGCTCCATTGAAAGAACCGCGGATCCAACTTCAGACCACCTCCCAGAGTCTCGATCAAGCCGGAAGCTGGGCAGCTTTGGTACTCTGCCATGTATAGCCGTACACTGACACCACCACGATTGGGAGATTCCATAAACCTCTTCAAGTCAAGCTCGTTGTGTATGTCTGGCCATCGTTTCGGCGCGCCACCCTGCGTGATATCCAGCACCGAAACTACCAACTCAGACTGTGCGGTTTCATTCAGTAGGTAATCGTCCAGATCTTGTAGATTGCTCCATCCTGCCGCAATGAGCTGGCGCACGTATTCGAGGTACGGTCGACTGGGGAGGGCCCATTCTTGCAAAGATGTTGGGGAGGATTTGGTTTGCCTTCGTGCAAAGCTCTTGACGGATTTGAAGCCCGAATCGATCCGCTGCTCAACGACGTCGAATGTATGGGTTCGTTCGGGGTGTTGATGAGAGTTGGGATTCGAGTGATGAGCGATGGGCCGGCTTGTTGCTGTGTCTAAGTTAGCCATTCCCGGAAGTGGTTCTAGGGCTTGCGTGGTCCAAGGGATCTTGTTGTTTTTTGCGGGGCAGCGATCCGGGACGGGGAAAACGTTGTCCCGTGGTTCGGATGTCACGCCAAATTCCTTTTCCCTGAATTCCCTGGACCGGGACATGGGTTTCTCGTTAAATGGACAAATATCTGGCTTCTTGCCTTTGATTTCAAACCATCTTCTCCTCCCTGGTCGGAACAGGATACAAGTGGGCCAGTTCCTGCCCAGCGCCCTCCGTTCATACACGATACCTCCTCAGCATCCGACCATCCACCTCAAAAGACGCCGTGAGTGCCAATAACCTGCTCGAATATCGCCTCCCTTTTGTGAGTACTGCCATGCGTGTACCATCGGCATTCACTTGAAGGCATTAAATGGTAGCCTCAAGTGAGGAGAGTGCTTGAGCATCTATCTCTGCATTCTTTGACACGAAGAGACACTCAAGCGGTCCAACGAAAGATGAGCGAAAGATGAGCCAAACTCAGCTCGACTCCCTAATGTGCTCCCTCAACTTGTTGCCTATGCAACATAGCACAGTACATTCCCTCCAGATCCATAAATTCGTCATGATTGCCACTTTCTCCAACTCTCCCGCTCTCCAAAACAGTGATTATATCTACCCTCTTCACCGTACTCAATCGATGCGCAATCACAATCGTAGTCCTTCCAGTCGCCGCTCTATCTAAAACGGCTTGAACCGCGCCTTCAGACTCTCTGTCTAATGCTGATGTAGCTTCGTCGGGTAACAGTATCTGAGGATTTCAGATCAACGCTCGAGCTATTGCTATCCGTTGCTTCTGCCCTCCAGAGAGAAGAACAGCTTTGGAGCCGCAGTCGTTTGCGAGACCTTCGCTACTCAGAGTTAGTGCCTTTTCCGGATGAGATTCATGGAGTGCGGTCGCCCTACGGAAGTGACGTTATGTAGTCCCAGATATTTGCCTCTCCACATGCCCTTTGTATCTCCTCATCTGCTATGTCTTCTCTTTCCGATCCAAAAAGAATATTGTCTCGAATGCTGCCTTGGTATAGGATTGGCTCTTGAGACACCAGGGCGAGCCGCGATCTGTATGTTTTGATATCAAGTTCCTTGATATTTCGGCCGTCAATAGGTATATCTCCCTCAGAGACATCATAAAATCGCTCTAATAATCCAAAGATAGTGCTCTTGCCGCCAGCGTGACCAAAGATAATCAAGCTACTTAATTATATTTGAGTTGAGTTGAGTTGAGTTGAGTTGAATTTGAGTAGTACTTTGTCTTGAGTTGAGTTGAGTAGGTAATTTAAGTACTCTGAGTCTACTCTGAATATTTTTGAGTAGGTATATATAATATATATATACTAAGTCCCTTACTTAATAGCTTATTTAGTAACTATTCCTAGGACTTATTTTAATAAAAGAGCGTGTATTTAACTATAGGAGACTATCTAAACTACTAACTAAATAATATTACTTAAATAATTTCAAATATATTCTCCCTATTATCTTCCTCTATTACCTCCTCCTTATCTTCTCTAAATAACCCCCAACTCTTTAGACAAATAATATACTCAAAAGTATCCTTATTTAGTCTATTTCTATCTTTATTAATAATTCTAGCTCCTTGACTAAAGAACCGTTCAGAGCTAGCCGAAGTAGCTGGAATTTGTAGATACTTTCTAGCTATTAAAGATAATACTGGGTATTTATCTTTATTAGCTAGCCAGTAAGTTAGAGGCTTAGTCTATTAAGTAGTTAGTATATATAATAATATAATATAATATAATAAAGGTACTTACTTCTCTAGGAGCTCTTCTCTCTCCTAAATATCTAGTTAATTCATCCTCTTCTTCTATTATATCTTCTATATAGATATCTAGGTCGTCCTCGTTATCTATAGCTAAGTTATTAGCTTCGTTAACCGGAGGATTAGCTAGTATATAGTCGGCTCGATATCTATTAATATATTAGTATTAATATAATATAATAAAGAGTTAAACTTACAAATCAAAATCAGTCTTTAATCTATTATAGATACTAGTAGTCTGATTTACCATAATTCCTATAGCCTCTAAACCGTCTTTCTTAATTCTAGGGTCTAGAATTAAAGATAGATATAAAGCTTTATTCTTATTACTAACCCCTTGTTTAGGAAAGTATTTTCTAAGCTTATTAATACCTAAGTTAATAGCTGTAGTAAATATAGGTAACTATAATATTAAGTTAGTATATATATATAATATAAGGGGGGGTAATAGACTTACATTAAATTCATTTCTAATAGACTCTAATCTAGTATATATTTTATATACTTCAGGGACTAAATAGTATATAGTAGGATACTTTTCGGCTTGTAGCTTAGTAGTAGCTTTAATAAATATAGAGAATATCTTAAGACACTTCTCTATATAAGCTATATCAGAATCGGTTAAGCTTAATACATTCTTATTCTTTTTAAAGGCTTTAGAATCAGATATATTAATAACCGATTTAATAGCGGGCCAAAGATTAAGGAAGTATTTAAGCATATAATAAGTACTAGACCACCTAGTCTTTTGATCTATTTAATAGTTAGTATAATATATTATAATATAAAGTAATAAAGTACTTACCTAGTTGTGGAAATCTAGGTTCTTTAATCTCTAGAGCCTCTATTTGTCGATTTAATATACGTCTATTGTCTTGTCCGTATTTAAGACTTATAATAATCTTTCTAATCTTTTTCCAAAGAGAAATATCTATTAAATAATTAGTATATAATTTTAATAATAATTTAATATAAGAATATATAAGACTTACTATTAGGAAGTACTTCCTCTTCGGCGTTATTTTCGATATTATAGATATCTTGGCTATTTATATCACTATCGTCTTTAATAATAGCCTTTAATATATCTTGTACTACTAGGTTTAGTACGTGAGCTAGACAAGGAATATCTCCTTGAAATTTAATACTATCTTTATTATAGTGCTCTATAAAGCCCTTTAATAGAGTATCGTTCGAGCTAGCGTTATCTCTAGTAATACTATAAAATATTAGTATATATTTTCTTATATAAAGTAAAGGGGTTATATACCTAGTAATATTAAACTCAATATTATAGTCTTTAAGAGTCTCTAATAAGACTTCTAATAAATAAGCTCCAGAGTATTTATCCTTAAGGTCTTTCATAGCTAGTAAATAGCTCTTTAACTCGTAGTTCTTATTTATAAAGTGTCTATTAAATATTAGTATAATATAATATAATATTAAATAAAGGTAATAAAATAAGGAGTACTTATATAGTAATACCTAAATAGGCGTCCTGATTTATAGCTGTCCAAGCATCTAAGGTAAGGGAAAAAGTACTATTAGACTTAATATTATCCTCTAGCTCTTTAATAATAGAAGCCTTAGCTTCCTTGTAATTAAATACTAAGGTATCCTTAAGCTTTTGGTAATAAACCTTAGAAACGTCCCTATTAAATTATTAGTATATTATATAGTATATTAAGAGCTAATTACTTACTTATTAAGGTAGTTTAATAACTCTCTAAATGATTTAGAAGAGACAGCCTTAAACAATATATTATTCTTTATAATAAAGTCTAATAAAAGTTTATTAAATATAGGCTCTTCGAATTTCTCTTCGGGGGTCTTAGGTCGTTTACTAGATCTTTGTCTAGCAAATATATCTCTAATATTACTAGTTCTACTAGTAATACTAGCTTGGGAAGACTCTCCTATATCCATAGAGTCGTTTTCACTATCTATTAATTAATTAGTAAATATTTATATATATATAATATTATAAAGAAATATAACTTACTAGTAGTATCTAGTTCACTAAGTATACGGCCTATATTAAAGGCCTTATGTTGCGATTTATAGTGTGCGATATAATTAGAAGTAGAGTTATTAACCCTTTGTTTAAGGTACTTCTTTCTATTAAAATATTAGTATATATTATATATAATATTATTATATATTATAAAGGGGTTACTTACGAGCAATTAAGATATAAACACTTAACCGTAATAGTTCGATAGTTCTCTAGTAGATCTGGATTATCTTTAGGAGGGTCTAAAGTCTTAGAAAATAACCCCTTTTTAAAGATAATAGGTTGTTGTTCTATAGGCTCTAACTCAAAATCAGGGTGATTTTGAATTCGATTTAGCCTAATCGAGGTATTTATAGACGAAGACATTATATATAGTATATATATATAAGTATAGTTATAGATATATAATAGTATAGAGAGTAAAGTAAGAGTATAGAATATAAAGTAAGATTATTATAAAGAAAGGAAAGAAATAACTCGAAGGGAGGAGTATACTCTTATATACTAACCTTAGGTCTACTAGAACCTTCTATAAGATCTTAATTTATAATACTATAGAACGATTTATAATAGAAAGAAGGTATAGAAGTTACTAGAATACTATAGAATATACTAGAACTTTATTTAATTATTAATCTAACTTCTAGTATATTCTACTTATAAATAGATATTCTAGTACCTTTTATATATAACTACTACTAGAAGGTTCTAGTAAGTCTATATATAGTATAGTTCTATTAGAATACCTAATAGAAGTAATAGAAAGTATACTCTTCGATTAATTTTAAGGTTTAGCGCCACTCGTAGAGCCTTAAGCTAGACCTAATTAGGAAGTGGCAAATCACATAAACACTACTTAATTATACTCAATTATATTTGAGTTGAGTTGAGTTGAATTTGAGTAGAGTCTAGATTTAGTTGAGTTGAGTTGAGTAGGTACGTCTACTCAACTCAACTCAACTCATTTTTTACGCTGCTTGCCGCATCCACTTCCACCTACAAGCGTAATGTACTGGCCCTTTGGATACGAATATCTAGTGGCCTGAGAACCCAAGTACGTTCTTTGTTCTTATCCTTAAACCCAACATTTCGAAACTCGAAATCTCCAACTCCACCTGATTTCTTGCCCTGGTCTCTCCAAATGTCTATTGTTGGCTGACGCTCCGTCAGACATTTGATGGCCAAAGCGGCAAGATGCGCCTTGCCCATATCTCCCGTGAAGCTGAAGAAAGCACCTGCTGACTGAACGGAGAAGATGATTTCGGCGAAGTAAACAAAGAATTGGAAGAGACTGTACTCCGAATTCCCAATCAAGGTACCACCATACCAGAACCCCAAAGCAATGCACAGGAAGATAACAGACTGCGAAAGAGCATACAAGACCGAGATTTTCAAGTTTGAAACCAGTGATTTTCGGTCTTGCGAGGCTAGCATGCCTGAGTATTCGCATTGTCCGTGGTGCTCCATGGACAACGAGGCAGTGGTCCGAATCAAGTGCAGCTTTTCAGATACGTATGAAGCTGACCCAGTATAAGATTTCTGCATCACACTTTCGAATCGACTTAGTGCCTAGAAACGAAAGAATCCGCAGCCCAAGACAACCGGCATTGTGCTCAAGATTACGAGAGCCAACTTCCACCCAACTGCTAAGCTGACGACTATGGCAGAAATCAGAGTAGTAGCAGACATCAGAAGGGTGCTGAGGGCTGTGCTCGACAACCCAGCCAGATGAGTGATCTCAGTTGCGAGGAAAGATGTGAGTGTCCCAGTCGAACGTTTATCGAAGAAAGCAATGTCTTGCCGAAGGAGCGTGCGGGAAACATGACTACGAGCTCGGAAGATCAAGGCCTCGGAACAATATGCGAAGAATACTCCTTGGGTGCCCATGGAGAGAAGTTGGACAAGGCCGAGCATCAGGTACATCAGAGACCAGAAATCCACGTAAGACCGGATTTTAGGTGATTAGGAGGGAGGACGCGAGAGTGCTACAGCGGACTTTGCGAAGAAGACTCCTTGAACTGGCTGCCCTCCCCCGGCGGTGTTGGCGAAGATGAGGCCACAGAGCATCAAAAGAGACTCCGCTTTCTTGAAGGAGGCGATGAATGTGATTAAAGTCCAAAGCGAGTGCCTTCTCAACCCTCCAGCCGAGGACTGCGTGATATCCTCGGTGGGCTCTTGGCGGGAGGCTGCTTCTCTCGAGTTCTATGGCCAATAGCATAATCTAAACATTTCTCTTCTGGCTGACATCTTACCTTTTCGATTTGAGATCAGGATCTTCTAAGTCAAGGCTCATGTTGCTCTCGAAGTCCACCACTCTAATGCGTCAATTAATGTACCTGTATGCATGGAGAAATGATAGAAGCCTTACCCAAGGCTAGGTCCGAAGGACTAAGTTCAGTTCCCTTTGCTGCACCATCCACACTGCTGCTATTTGGCTCGGCCGAAGGTGTCGAAATGCCACCCCACGACGGACTCTCCAGGATCTCCTCTCTCGGGCCATGCCGAACAATCATCCCATCTTTCATCACCGCGACAATGTCTGCATCCGCAATAGTCGACTGCCGATGAGACACAATAAGTGTGGTTCGGTTCTTGGAAGCTTCCTCGAGTGCTGCTTGTACCACCCCTTTGGACTTGCCGTCCAACGCCGAGGTAGGCTCATCCATAATATCTTTGGGTCTTTCACAATAGCGCGTGCAATAGCTATCCACTGCTTCGGTCCACCGGAAAGAAGGGAGTTGCCGACGTGGGTTCGGTACCCATCTGGGAGCTGCATGATGAAGTAATGTGCATGAGAATTTTTTGCTGCCTCTTTTATCCTTTCCTCCTGCTGCTGCTCAGAGCCATTGCCGTATGCAGATCCAATCAATCCCAACTTGATATTGTTCATGATCGTGTCATCAAACAGCTTTGGTTCCTGCTCAACCAAAGAAATTTGCTGGCGAAACCATCCCATTTGGATGGCACTAATATCAATCCCATCGAGGAGAATAGTACCCCCAACAGGCTCATAGAATCGCTCCAGGAGACTAATTAGGGTGCTTTCCCCACATCCCGAAGCCCCCACAATTGCAGTCTTCTTTCCTGCCTCGATATGAAGATTGCAATTCTCCAACACTACCACATCCTGTCTTGATGGATAGATGTGTTTCACTTCTTTGAATCGAATTTCACCTTTTACTTCCCAAGGAATATCGCCGCTGGCCGAGCCGGGATCCAGGGGCGATATCCGGTCAATTGTGGCATAGATGTTTGACGATGCGGCAACAGCAGCAGAGAAAGCCTGAATATTCGAGCCGATCTGGCCGAACGTGAAAGCTCCGATGATAATTGCAAGAACAATAGTCAAAATATCCGCGACGTCCACGCTTCCGTCAACAAGAAACCGACTTCCCATCCAGAAAGCAAAGCCATAGTTCAAGAACACCAGACACATTATGGTCGCAATCATTACCGCCAGCACCGACTTCTGTATGATTCCAGCTCGGTTCGCCCTCTTCAAGTGCTTTTCATACTCACGCGCAAGTTTGTCCTACGTCCCAAATGCAGTCGCATTCCATATTGATCCCAAGATCTCCTCAGAAACAGATCCACGCTTCGCGTACGCTTTAATACCTTCCTGGTTGTACTTCACCATCAATTTATCTCCGGCAGATATCACCAACATGATAGCAAATACGCTGGCAAAGCAAATCATGGTCAGTTTCCAATACTTCACAAATCCTACAACGAAAGCGGTGAAGAAGTTTGCAAGCCCGGTCAACGTCAAAACAATTTTATGTCCGATGCCGTCTTGGAAAAGATTCATATCTGCTGTAAGGCGAGTTCCAATCTCTCCAGTACCCATATTATCGAAGAAGGCAATGTTCTGGCGTAACAACGCCGCAAAGTACTCCTTCCTGACAGTAGAAGTGATGTGCGTGGATGTATAGATGAATCCAACGGTGGCGATGTAAATTAAAACACACTCTCCAATGGCAAGGTAAATGAAATAGAGTACATTATGCACAAGGAGGCGATTGAAGTCCTCTCTGTCCACTGCCGGGTTACCATGAGATTTGAAGCCATTTATCAAGATGCCAACGACAATCTACAATTTGGTCAGAAGTCGTTGTACCAGCGAAAATATGATATTCGAGAGACTGGGAGACTCACGGTCATTAAAGGCATGGCGGCCCCTCCACCAATTGCACATAGGCTCGAGACGAAAACGATGGATTTATCATTTCGTGTCGCAAATCGATATAGTTGAAAAAAAGACCCGGGTGATGCCGAGAATGCTAGATGCTTGTCTAGAACGGATGCTTCGTCGGCGGAAAGGCTATTCGTGAAGCTTTTCTCAGAAGCGTTTGCGGTAGCGGCTTCCGCTCTCCTTGCTTCCAGCATGTCCGGGGATGACGACGGTGTTAAATGAACCTCCATACTTCCAGAGTTAGGTTTCCCGGCCTGGCTGTAAGATTGGATTTCTTTTTAACAGCTTGTCATGAATTCAGCATACAAAGAGATCCGAAACTGATCGTTTCAAAAAGTGCAGTTGAAGATTAACGGAGTTACAGGGAACGAAATGAGCAACTTAGGCAGTGCAACCCTAGATTAGGCTGTGCATTCAGTGCTTATGTGTGACACTTGATGACTACCTGTCATCTTCGAATAGAAATGCGCACAATACGGAGTGTTCAAGGAAGTAAAATGGATCAGGTGGGCTATAAGGCTTAAAGCTTATTTGCCTAATATAATATATTAATACCTAATATTATTATAGTATAATACTTAAAATATAATAATTCTAAGTTAGCCTTATAATAAAAGCTATCTTATTAATAATGAATTAGTAAAAGAATTTTAAGTATAAAATGAATTATATATTATATTATTAATATAAGATTATAATCGAAACTAGTATAAAAGAATACTATTAACTATTAAGTATAAAGCTTTTATTTATTTAAGGAAAATACGCTACTTATATAGAACCTTCCTGCTTCTGGATCTTGTAAATCCCTGGATCTAAACCCAGATCCCCAGATCTCATCACGTGACCCGTGATATCCTGATTTAAGCTAACTAACTCCTATCGCCCCAGGGCCTTCTGTGAGTGCACGCACTTACTGAGCCTATGGTTCCTGTGGCCTTGCCATGTTCGTAACACACGACTACATGGCAGAGGGAAGGTATACGCGGCCGATGGATGTTTGGCTCGACAACCTTAAAACAATCATGGAGCTGCGCATGAATCCTGACAAAAAGTGGGTATCGGAACTTCCAAAGCGTATGTTCGTCGACAATGCTATATCATACAGAAACTCCAAACAAATGCAGGATGCCAATTCATCTAATCGTACTCCGTGGAAACACCTTCCATGCTCGTTCCTTTTACATGTCCTTTTTCATGCCCTGCCTTAAAGTCTTTAATAGCACTCACAACATCTGATATAACAGTGATCTTATACCCATCCTTTGACTTTCTGTCCTTAAAGCACTCTTTTCTCCGCCTCCTCAGCAAGCTTCCTCTCAGAGTTTTGCACACTAACCGTCTTCTCCGTCGCAGTCCCTGGTGGACTCTCCTCCCCCCCCATGCCCCTCTCTACCCATCTCAACATCCGCAGCATCCAAACCGGCCACCTTAGCCTTCTCCCTCTGCCACAACCGCCAAAACACATACGAACCCCGCAACTGCGCCGCAGCAAACAGTATATGCAGCAGCGGCGTAACGATCTTAAACGGGAGGGTCCAGCGATGCCATAACGAGCCAAAGAGCCACATTGTTACGGCGGTTTCGGAGATTGTCCCGTCGAGTTCGGTGCATGCTGTTATTCTGAAGAGTTTGCTAAGGAAGTGGGGTGAGGTAGGGTGTAGGCGGTAGAGGATGAGGGCTAGGCGGGGGAGGAATTCGGCGACGATGTCGAATGCGTCTATGGCTGAGAGTTAGTTTCAAGTTCTGGTTTCTTGCTTTAAATTCAACGTTGATTGGTATCAAAGCTGGAGAGATGGTTTGTATGGAGAAGGAGGGAGAATAGAATGGAAGAGATCACATATCCCAGGCTGTACAAAGCATAAACTCAATCCCAGCATCACTCTCCTGAATCTTCCCCAGCGAGAGAGCAATTGAGGTTTCAGCAATAATAATCGTCCCAATATGATGTAACACTGACACAGGACTGATCCGATCCCTATAAAACAACTCAAAGGCATACATGCCTACAAGCATGTGCGCGGCTACAACGAGGATATCACCAATGATGACAGTATTAGGACTCATCGGGTTGTGGCCATGAACCAATGCTGAATGGAAGGTGCTAGTGCCGAAGGTGACAGAAAGGAACGCTGGTTGGAGATGGCCATTGAGGTATAACGTGAGCCGTAGATTCGAGGAATGAGTGGTTGGAAGACATAGTAGCAGATGAAAAAGTAGCAGACCAAGACGATGACGAGGATGAGGCTGGAGAGGGATGCGAGCTTCGAGATCGTCTCAATTGGGAGAAAGTTGATGTGAGGCATTGTTGCGAGTTGGAGTTTTCTCCGTCGAGTAGGTTGGGGTTTTTGAGGATGAAGATAAATGACGCGGTATTAATGTCGAGTAACTTCCTATCATTTCCCCTCAACAGATGTGACCTTAATTGTTCTCAAACTAGTACTATTACCGTTGTCTACGCCACAAGTCGATAAGGATATTTGAGAATGTAGAATAAAAGACTTCGCCCTCGGAACGAAATGTTAAGTCGGGTGAAGTGAGGTGAGCACAAAGAAGGCCCGAGGATGCTACTGCTTCTTGTGCCTCCTACATGCCATGGAGACGGAGAAGGTCAAATCGACTCGCTAGGCCTCGCCTTTACGTCGTCATGGCCTAGCAAGCGGTTGGATGGACTCTCCAAGGATGGTAGAGCCATGGTGGGTTTCTTACCCAGAGCCACAAATAGGAAGACTGTTTGCATTAGCAACGACAATAACGTGTGCCAGTGGATATGAGGTTGTAGATCGTCAGCGAAATGTTAATATCCGCAAGGGATCAGCGGTTGAAGAGGTGTTATTAGAAGAACTGGAAATATTGAAACTCAGGGAGTCTTCAAGATCTCTATGTAGGCAAGACAAGGTGTTTGCTAGGCGTCCGCTAGACAAGAACAGATACCAAGAGCTAGGCTCCTTGGGGTCATCAGTGCGGGGTTTGTGTCCACTCGATATAATTTCTTGCTTTGCGTACTAAAAAGAAGTTCCTTTAGGCCTTTCTTTCGATAAATACATGAAAATCAATGTTATCCGATATTCGAAGAAGTCATCAAATTGTCCCAGGATTCGATTCCCAGAAGTTTTATCTTCTATCAAAACTCAAAAATACTAGGATCTTCATCCTCCATAAGACGCTGAGCCCTAGCGACATCGAAAACGCCATGCTCATCCGTAAGCTCCTCTTTGTGTCCAAAGTAGACTGGGTAGGAGACCTCAAATGTAACATATTCCAAGGCGGCAAGGACATTGTCGGCTCCACTGGGATCGATTCTAAAGTCGTGCCAGGTGTCACGCTCCCGTGGAAGAACACCGTATCTACCGAATTGGAGGGGCTCCTCTCCGTCAGCTTCTTTGTGGACATAGTGTTGCATCAAGAGGGTGCTATCAGTGACGCTGCGCACATCCGCAATAGCGATGATATCTTGTTCGATGATGTTGTGCTGGCTTTGCTTCTCTACCGCCCATTGCTGACAGTCCTGCTCGGAGGCGCCAATGAAATCGGTCTCAAAGGTCTCATCATCATTTAGCTCCGTCTTGAATCCCTGGCCATCACTCGGGCCGGCGCGCGATTCAACGAGATAGAAGATCTTGTCCTCTGGGGTTTGATTCCCCAAGACCCTACGAACGAACTAGAATCTTCGATCAGCTCTGCGCACTTGCCTGCAAATAGATTCGACTTACGGGCTTGGCTTCCTCAGCAGTGCAGAATAGCAAGACGCGGGGCATAATGAGAATGCGACCTTGCGACTCTATAAATGGTTTAGAATCTGCGTTGTGAAGTTGGAAGATTCGAAGTGCGGGGTTGCTTAAGAAGGAAAAGTTGGTCGTCAATTTGTTCGAGAATGTTCAGGCTATCGAAAACAGGCGAAATAGAATTGTGAAATAATACGCGAAGCCCATAATTTAAGTATTTGAGGTAGTTCTACGGGGTGTGATCAGATGACGTCAAAATGATTAATTCACCTCAATGTAATACGACATTCGACTGGATATGGATCCCGTAGGATGCGGCCTTCAAGGATCCCAATCCATGTTTGCTCAGCCTGTTCTAATACCGGTATGTACGCTGCGCGAGCTCATACATACCAATAAAGATAAGCACGAGAACCCTGTCTGAAACAAGATGGTAATCTACGATGCCATAGCCGCGCAAAACATGTGATCCTTCAGCCGTACTGCTACATTGACTCAAATCCTTGCTACCAACCGCCGTGTTTCTAATTGTGGCTTCTCCAACATTCCTAATTATATTTTTCTACCTGAACAGTACATTACATTGGAATTCGGGGCGAAAAGTTATGCACATTAGCGAATGCGTGTATCAATTTATTGTGAAAGCATTCGACTTTTGTGTTACTAGCCAGTAGCCTCTAAAGAATATCGTGTGGATTTCCTAAAGCCCATTCAAACATTAAAAAGCAGTCACAGCAAAGCATAGTCATAGGCTGGTTGACTCTTATTATAGAGAGCTTTCTAAATTTAGGAAATAATAATATTATACATCTTGGTTAATAGCAATCGAGTTCGAATTCTCAGTAAAGTGAACAGATTCAGGAATAATTATTATTCTGGAATAGAAAGTTTCCCATAATCATGGCATAGTTCTTCAAAGCCGAGTACCAAGTAACTTCCTGAGCGCCAAGAAACTCAGCGCTAGTTTAGACACGACCGAATTAATAAAACCTACTGCTATAAGTCTATATTCCAGGGCTATTTGCTTAATAACAAGTACTGTAAAATGGTTTTGAATTTTTATATTTATTGCAAGAGTTTTAGGAAGCTTTTAAAACATAGTAGAGCTTTTTTTTCTCGCACTTGACCTAATTTGAAACTAATATACTTTGTTGTTATTTAATAAATACTAAATAAGGTTATTGACTTCAGTATTCAATAGCCTAAAAATTTCGCTAATACCACGGACTTATTATAAAGGCTTATAAATGTCAGGCATTAATCCCATAAGAACAAAAAGTATCTAATATATCCTATTTATAAATACCAAAATTAGCAAAACTGACTTTTCGTTTAATATACTTGAAACTACTATTGATTTAACCCTAAGTAAGCTTTAAAGACTATTATAAATATAGTATTTAGGGCTTGGAAAATAAGATAAAAGGTCTTTTATAAAAATGATTTAAAGCTAAGAAAAAGAAAACTAGAATATAAAAGGCTATAAAGAAGTATATATATCCTATAGTATACTAGTCTCAAAAGAACTAGTTTTTTAAATATCTCTAGTATATTTCAAATATATTTCTCTAATAAAGCAGTTATATTATATATATCTAAAAAGTATTTAATATCTAATAAAATATCTTAGATACCGGGTATTTAGGAATTATAATAATTTTTGAATTATTAATAATATTAAAATAGTATTTCTTTTTTTTATACTAATAGAATATTATTACTTTTTTATATATTTTACTATATTTATAAATAGAAATATTTATAAGCTTAAAGTTTATATTTTTAAGAATATATTCTTTTACTAAAATAGATAATTCTTTTATAAATTTCTAGTATTAAATAATTTTTTTTTCTTTTTAATAACTTTTTAATAACTTTTTAATATTCTATTAAATATATTAATATAAGACTTAAAAGAAATCTTTCTATTTTAGACTTATATAATAATTTAATTAAGAACGTTATAGTTAATTTTAAATATTTCCTAGTTATACTTTTAGAATTTCTTTAATAAAGCTTTAAAGAACTTTATTTTCTAGTAATTTTCTAGATTATTAATATAATATCCTAATATAGTTTTAATTTAATTCTTATAAATAAAAGAAATATAATAGTTTTTATATATATTTGTATACTATTTCAAAAATATAAAAATATTACTTTCCTAAAACTATAATATTTCTAGAGCTTTTATAAATAATAGATTTAAATCTAATACTAATATATATTTATTTTCAGCTATATTAATTCTAATAATTTCTTTTATAACTAATTATAAAGTTTCTATATCTAAAACTTCTACTAATAAGATTTCTAAAAAGCTAATTTTCTATTTAAATATATCTTTTAGTAAAGAAATCAGAATTTGAAAAAAGCTAGTTAATAATAATAAATATAATCTGGATTCAAATTTTAATATTAGTAGTAATAAAATAATAGCTTTTCTAGTTTTATTTCTATTACTTATATTCTTCTTTCTATTCTATTAGTTTAATATCTATAATACTTTTATTTAATTTTACTAAACTAGATATATTTAATAGTATTATTAATAAATATAATAAAAATAATAATAATAAAAACAATTTTTTAAATTCTACTATTTTCTTTATTTTCTCTAAATTCTTCTTATTATTTTTATTTAGTAATCTTTTCTTTTTCTAGAGGCTTCTTTAATTTATTTATATAATTTCTTATTTCTTATTTTCTTTTAATTCTTTCTGATTTCTATTTATTATTTTATTTAAAATTAAAAGCATTTTCTATTTTAGATATTTTCTTTGATTTTAAAAGCAAGCTTTTCTATTAAAATTAAAGTTATTTCTATTTCGGCTTTTACTATAACTAAAAATAATATATAAATTAATAATATAACTTTATTTCTAATTAAGGTCTAACTTATACTATTTTAGTATAATATTTCCTATTTAATTTCTTCTATTTCTTTTCTTTTTATAATTAGTTTCTATTTTTACTATTTTTATATATTATATTAATAACTATATTTTAGAGCTAATTTATATTCAAGTTATTAGATATATCGGAAATTAATATAAAATACTAAAATTAATACTTATATATTTTTAATATTTTAGCTTTAGATTTAAGATATTATAATAGTTCTTTTTTTCTCTAAACTTACTAAGCTAATAATCTGCTTTATAGAAATTTCTTAGAACTTTATTAAAGTATTATCTTAATTATAAAGCTTTAATTTTTCCTATATTACTTATTATAAAATATATAAGAGAAAAACTATAATAAAATAAAAACCTATATAAAATATATTAGAATATAAAATATAACTTAATAATAAAATAATAGAAATAAAGATATAAATAATAAAGTATAAATAATATATAATATATAAAAGCTTAATTAATTAAATATAAAAAAGAGATTATTATCTAGAATTATAGAAAAGCTAGCTTTTTTATATAATTCCTATAAGTTATATATAAAAGGCCCTAGTCTTTATTATATAACTGAAACTTCTAAACTATTAAAACAAAGCAATTTTAATAAAGTATAGCTTGCTATACTATATTAGATAGTCTTTTCTAATTATATAAATAGATTACTTAAAAAGAATAAGTATAAGATATAATTAAATATATATCTAGTCTAAATAAAAACTAGAAAAGAGCTAGACTAGATACTTTAGTCTGTCTCTAAGCTATATTACTAGAAGGTTATTCTAGACTACTATCCTTTAGTAGTAGTTCTATAGCTTAAGAAGCAGAATAGCCTCTAAAGGCTACTAGAGTACTAGAAAGCAAAGCAAATACTATAGAGGTAAATATAGAAAAGGAGAGTAGAAGAAGCAAGTACTAATCTACTCTACTTTTTATAGTAAGAAGTAGTAAAGGTGTAAGGAAATGTCTAGGCTCTGAATAGTTTACTTAAGAGTATATAATAAGAGAATACTTGTTTTATAAATAAAGGTTTATTAGTTTTCTACTGGGTCTCAGTTTTTCCTATTTGCTCTGTCTTAGATAAAACACCTCATAGCATAAGTTTATAGGTAGAAGAATTATTATTAATATATTCTGTTCGATATAGTAATAATCTGTAAAATTAGTACTTTACCCGAGTACCCTCTCACAATAAAGTACCCACACAAGCAAATGGAAAATGCAAATTGAATGACTACTCTACTCTTCTAAGTCTGCTGAATGTACACGACCCATGCGTTTTAAGAAACCAAGCCAACAAAATAAATGACAAATTTACAATGCGCAACTCCAATGCTCCAAGAACCAGCGCACCCACCAGCGACCTATCCCATTCGAACCGTCTCTCCTCTTAGGCCGTCTTCCCTCTTCGACGAGTTTCAACTCCTACTCATCTAGCAGCCAGTGCCGCGGTTTGACAGGCAAACGCTGGTACAAGTCTGGTGAACCAGAACGTTATAGATCTTGCCCGAAATGCCGTTACTGGTGCATTGTTGTAAGATGGTATTGGCATAATTAGCCAAGTCGCCCTTGATAAGGCTAGGCACCACGTTATGCCATGAGACGCAGCAGTACTCGTTGGACTCGGCCGCGGCCCCCTCGTAGCAGATCTGGCGGGGCGACTGACCGACCGTAATCTGTGAGTCGTTGAAGAGCTCAGTCACGAGCTGATCGCAGATGTCGTTACGTGCCGAATGCGACGTAAAGCATGTGGGCGCTGTGGTGGCTGAGCAAGAAGCGCGCTCTTCGACCGGGTTTGCTTCCGAGCGAAGCGTCTTAGTGCCACTTGCCGGGCCATAATAGACTAGGGAATCCACTCCGTTTGAGGATGGCTCACGGTAGAGTTCGACGTACTCGTTGAAAGTGAGGATCTCGGTGGAGTTCCGTTCTCTCAAAGGAGAAGCTAGCAGGCCGGTGGCGCAAGCGAGGACGAGGGCGATCGTGGTGAATTGCATTTTGAGATTTAGGTTGTGTAGCGCTTTAGTTTTCTTGAATGGACTAGATGAACAAGTAGATAACTGGTTAGGTATTGATGTTGTGTTTTGATAATATGCTTTGAGGTTGTGGTGTGAGGTTGTGGTGTGAGGTTGTGTTGTGATAATGTGTTTTGATGATGTGAACGAGCTCTCTTAGACGGGTCATCTCTGATCTTTTATAATCTTGGATTTGTCTCTTGGATCATCATGTGTCGAGCTTGCCGCTGCTTTCTTGCCTTCAGATTCCTCATGATGGCACTGCTGTTAGGATGTTTTTTTTTTAGAACTGTTTTCTTTTCTGTCCAGGTCTTACTGCGCAAAGGGCGAAGTCACCGTCGAGATATTTTAATTGCGTTTTGGATTCTAGATGCAGTTGGGATTCTACAGGAATCCTACAGAAATCTTCCTTTCGCCGCGTACCAGCTAAGTTATCATTTTCTAGATTGTTGATTCGAGTTCTCATCGGAATTCTCATAGCCATTTATTACCCCTGTACCAACAAGGACGGGCGCAGACTGACATGCTTAGCAGATTAACAACACGGCCGGGTGGTTATGCATGCAGGCCAATTAGCCACCGCTCTGTTTTCTTTCATGGGCCGCATGGCACAGTTTCACACAGCCTGAAATACCAGGGGTAGTCACATTGCACAGCTTACAACCACCCCTTTCGCTGAATACCAACAATCAGGATCTGCCTCCCTAACTATAGCAATTTCACCAACTGAAGCAAGTAAATGAAACTATTCATAGATGAAACATGCCGACGTGGACAGCCGGATTTGAGTCTGGTAGCCGATGTAACCACCGGTCATAGGATTCTCATCGCCGCAACAACAATAGACCATTCTGAGATATTTTAAGAAACTTTGGACAGAAAGAGAGAGGAGCGAACTTTGTAAAGAAAGCCTGGACAACTTTAAAATGATAAATACCTGCTGTGAACGCCGAGCAGACGACCAAGAGCAGACAGCTAAGACGCCTCAAAGCTCATCATCATCATCATCATCATCTCCTTCTTCTTCACCTTCTACTACTTCTCCTTATTCACCCTCTTCATCATCTGTGTCATTGGTATCTTAAAGCCCATCTACAGACACGAAAGCCTAAATTGTTAGCATGGCCCTCAAAACTATTGTTAGCAGGCTTTGCCTGTTCTCGCTTTTGTGCTCTACAACACTTGCAGCTCCAGTTCCTGAGCCCATCAGCGAAAACGACGTCGGTTTCAACGAAACAGTACTCGTGAAGCGTGTTGGTGAAAATGAAAATGATCCAATTCAAGCGACTTTTAACATTGCAGGCTGGCCAAACATAGCCGAAGAAAATTGTTATGCGATGCTCTGCTTGCTCGGCACTAATCGGATCTAGTGAGTACAGTCCCAGGAGACTGATGCTTGTGATGGTGACACTAATTAGAGAAATTATAGCCAAAGAAACCCAACGGCCAATGGAAGGGGGACGAATTACCAGCTTTCGGGCGCAGGCACCGTACCATTCCAGGCCCAAAACCTGGTAGATCGTCACACCTCCCAAATAAACTCCAATACTGTCAGCGCAGAGGAATTTCCTTGGGCGAGTACACAGCAAGGAGGTGAACATGCTTACGTATTCCCAGCAACAAGAACTGAACAATCAAGTATGTTAACAGCTTTCTTACATCCATGAGAGCTCGAAAATATGCTCACATGAAGAACAGGTCAAGGGGCTTCCATAAGGAACGGTTATAGAGCTAGCAATGTTCCCTTGGAACATTGGTTCGAGATAACGTTCACAGGCGCGTAAGTTAATACTCGGCTCCCTTGATATCGGTGCGATGGCTTAAGACTTCTTTTTCACTGACTTGTAATAGTCCCTTTGGCAGATACTGCGCTGCTTTATTTTCAAATCCCCCAGACACATCAGTTTGCACTAGTAATCCCGCGGAGACCTTATTTGGTACAACAGGTGTAACCCTTGCCGATTTCGCGTATCAGGTTGTGAGAACCACAACACCTTTTTACTTCATTCATGCAGCTGGTTCAAAAAAGGGCCAAAAGCGATCCGAGTACGTCAAAGTACTCGCCCAGGAGGCCGATGAGAAGATTAATTAGTTTTTGACATTGTATTTGAAGATCTGGCCGTGGCGGAGTTGCGTGTGACTAAGAACGGGTTCGATATAGAAGGTGTTTGGAAAATGTTATGAGATAGGGCGTTTTGCAAACTGAAACTGGAAAATAAATAAAAAACCAAAAAAATATGGGGAAATTTTTTTTTTGTGTTCCATAGTCTTTAGCTGCCAGAAGCGCTATGCAGACGCACTATATACAGAGTTGTGACCATATAACTTACGCCCTACGGGCCCAATAAATGGCACGGTAGTTATACTGTTCCTCCTGTTCCGTTCCTTGCTATGTGTGTTTCTTTAATATTGCGGCCAGTATACCAGCCCAAATATATCTCTCCCATACGAATATAAATACAATCATCTTCCAATGTACTATCTACGGACACCATCCCAGAAAACTGCAATCCAGAATCGGCACCGGATTCCAATTAAGCGAGCGATTTTAGCCAATTAATCAAGCGGATTTTAGCGCTTTGCTTAAGTATTTCGACCCGATTCTCGACCCTATTCCAAATTCTGACTAAGTACCTTACGGAATAGGCTTAATATTACTAGGAATTGGGTCTAATACAAATTTGGTCTAATTAATATTATAGAGCTAATTAAGTGCTTTCTAAAAAAAAACTTCGTATATATTTAGCTATTATATAAAAGAAGTTATAATTTTTAGAAAAAGAATTTATAAAATAACTTATTTTATTTTTATTTACTCTAAATTAAATTATAATAAGTACAAAATAAAATACTACTATATAATATTAAGATATTTATAATTATATCAAAGTTCTACTTATACTACGGGATTTTCACTTTGCAGGGATGTCGGGTACTTATGAACCGGAGTCGAGGGGTTGGTTAGTAGTAAGAGGCGTGTTGCTATGTGAAGGACTATGCCGTAGGGTGCGTTGGTTCGAGTCCTTGCGAATAGCCTCCTTCTCCTTTTGACACGTTGATAGCGCTCAGCCCATTGTATCCGTCGTCGTTCGGTTTTCTGTTCATCAGTGAGGTTTATTAGAGGACGGCCGCGCCAGCTAGGCGGGGCTGATATAAAGTTGGACCCTGCATTCATTTTCGATCCTTCCAACCTTACTCGTTAGAACTGATTGGACTAGTAGATAGCAATTCAGCACTCCAATGCGGAGAACTTTTGAAATGGTCTTCCCTCCGTCAGCTTCGTCCAACTACCCTAGCTTTGTTCGCAGTCTGAGCGCGCTCTCGCTCTCTCTCTAACCCAGATAGGTCTGGTTTTTTGTGCAAAATGACTAGGGGAGGGTTTCTGGCCCGCTGGTTGGCTCAATCGAGCCCATTTCATCTCGCTAGGTCCCGCATCCAATGACAGCCGTGGTCAGCAACAAGGGTGCGGGATTTAACACCACATTTCTTAGCACCGGTGCGGCCATGGAGTACCTCCGGAATAGGATATTCAGGCAGGATACAATAGCCACACCTTGGTGGTTCCTTCTAGTCAAACCGAAACACGACTATGTGGCGGCCGTGAGGGCTTTCGTGTGCCGTCTTGCTGTAACGCCACTTTTTTTCGGCTGTTCCGGCACACGCTCCGAATTCGCAGATGCTACATCTAATCTTGTGTCTTTTTGGACTTCAAAATAAGCCTTGTAATTAACGTTCCTGAGCGTCGACTGAAGCTTTTGGAGAAACCAGCTTGGTAGCTTGCAACACAGGGTTATAACGGTGCTACTGCGGTGTATTCTTCGAATAGCTACGATAATTCTCGAATACCAGAATACTGATGATTAATGACTGCCATCTGTAGGATTGCCTACATACGTGGTCCAATCCCAACTATTTCCGCTCCATCCTTAATGAGTGCCATCTGTAGGATTGCTTGCATACGTGGTCCAATCCCAACTATTTCCGCTCCATCCTTAATGAGTGCCATCTGTAGGATTGCTTGCATACGTGGCCCAATCCCAACTATTTCCGCTCCATGCTCCCCTTCGTCTTCGGAAAAGAGCTTCCGCTGTTCGATCGTTTAAAGCAGCCCCCAATCTGAACTATTCCAATATCTTATATAATCATCACTCAGTCTAATAGCCAACATCAACGCTCTTCAATCTTCGCCCCACAGTTCGTCAATGGAAGTCGCTACGCGATTAGTTAATTTCATCTTCTCGACCTTTTCAACATTAAGCAATGCAACGCAGACGAAACTTCTCGAAACTCATGGATACTCTCGAGGCTTTGCGTTGTTCCTCTTCTTAAGACCAGCATACAATCAGCTGGACCGCATGGAGGACCATATAATATGGGCAACCGAAGACGAGGTAGAAAAATGGAGGAAGACATTCATTTCAGAATGCAACATGTCGGCTATTGCCGTGAGCGCTCTGCCACTTCGTGACGTCTCCTTTGCTTATAAGCTCTTGCTTTATTAGGGTACCATCCTTGCACAAGTCGCTCTCACCTCGTTCAGCCTCCCGAATCTTAGTCAAGCGCACTGGACCGCCCGGGCAGCCTTTCTCTTAAGTCTTGTCTCGGGCTGTTTAGCCGTTTTCTACGCTTCGCTGCTGCAAAGGACATTGGGAAACATTAGAACTCCACAACTGGTAAAAGAATGGTGGCGTGGTTCCACGCCGTCAACCTCAATCACACTCCTAGACAGCACGGTCCGACGCGAGGTTTTGGAGTTTTGGAGCAACCGTTCCGACTTCGACAAGAGACCGGTGTGGCTGCTGCAACAGGATTTAGATTTTATTCGCCATGGGTTAGATGACGTTCGCTTTGATGATGCTGCAACTATAGGGGTGAGGAGACGAGAAGGCAGAGAGGAAAATCTGAAGCTACAATCATCTGTAGCAGCAGCCATCTTAATGTCGTCACCTTCGATGATGATCAACTTTGCTGTAGGTGCGTTCTTGGCCGGGATCGGCATATATTTTGGATTTGTTTGGAAGCATGATCTTGACCCTATTTCTAGTAGAACAGATAGTCGCAGCGTTTTTATTTGTTTTCTGCTAAGTGTTGTATTCTGCTATAGCTTTTACGGGTTTCCTTTTCTATCGAAGCTGTGGGAAGACAATAAAAAGTCTGACAACTCTTGGCTCAGGATTAAGGGCATTATGGATAGAATAGCAGAGGTTACGGATGAGATACATCTTATGTCGTCACGGGATGTGTTGGAACAGGATCAACTGAAGGAATTACTTCAATATACAAGGGTTCTGGCTATGGCGGTACGATCCCAAGACTATCGGTCGTGCCTCGAAGCAGAGAGAGCCACTCAAAGCGTGGATCGTCTCCTTAAGGAGTGGGGTCGCAAGGAGAAGAGAGGAGAGGAGGGAGGAGAGAGGGGAGGAGAAGAGAGAGAGGTTGGTTCTGGAGTTGTAGGAAAAGAAGAACCTGAAGGCAAAAGAGAAATTGAGGCGGGAGAGAAACTGAAGTAATAATGCTAATCTCCAAAATGTGGTTTCAAAGTACCCTGTATCAGGTATCAAGTTCGAGGGTATATACTATATCGGATCTTGGGTAAAAGTCGGTAATTCCCCTTATTACCCCTAATACTATTCAGTACTCTATTATATAGTAATAGAGTTTTTTTATATGGGCTAATATAAGTAAAGTAGTCTGTACTACTACTATTTCTATTACTATATAATAAAGAACTTTTAAATTTTTGCAGGGGTTAAAAAGTACCTAATTTCGGTATTATAAATATATTAGAATATAGTAAACTACTATAATTACTACTACTACTAGTATATATACTATATATTATATTAAATATTATATTTAGTAAGTATTATACTTTAGCTATAGGTATAATTATATAGTACTAGCCGAGTCTATATTAAGAAATATATACTTGAAATATAAGAATTAAATTATATAAATATATAAATAATTAATATATAATAGTATTACTAGTACTAATTTAATTACTACTAATACTTATTTATATTACTAATAATAGTATAAGAAATATAAAGAAGTCTTTAAATTTCACTTTTACTATTTCTAAAACAAGGCTTACTAGTAGTAATAATTAGGATATTTTCTAATACTACTAATACCCTCTAAACCAGAAAACCTAACTTACTAACTTATAAGTATTCTCTAAATACCCAAATTACCCAAACTATTATCTAAACTATTTCCTAGAAAAAAGGCTAACCCGAAAAAAAAAACCTCTAAAGTTAAATGCCTGAAAAGCGGGTATATAAGCGAGGCGGTTTTGAAAAACACATATTAGTAAGAAGCTCCCTTACCAAAATCATATAGTTAATAACTCGATATTAAATAACGGGCGAATAGCTATAAATTAGATACCGAAATAATCGCATATTACCAGGTTTTTAAAAGGTTATAGTCAAATATCTGAAAAGCGGATACGTAAGCAAGGCGGTTTTGAAAAACATATATTAGCAAGAAGCTTCCTTACCAAAATCATATAGTTAATAACTCGATATTAAATAACGGGCGAATAGCTATAAGTTAGGTACTGAAATAATTATATATTACTAGATTTTTAAAAGGTTATAGCTATATATTATATATTAGTTATATAGCAGATTAATTATGATTTTATAGTAAAAGTATATATATTAAGAGCCGAAAAAGCATAATATATATAATATTGGTAATAACTTGATAAATAACGGATAAATAGCTATAAGTTAGATACCGAAATAATTATATATTACTAGGTTTTTAAAAGGTTATAGCTATATATTACATATTAGTTATATAGCAGATTAATTATGATTTTATAGTAAGAGTATATATATTAAGAGCCGAAAAAGTATAATATATATAATATTAGTAATAACTCGATAAATAACGGGCAAATAGCTATAAGTTAGATACCGAAATAATTATATATTACCAGATTTTTAAAAGGTTATAGTTATATATTATATATTAGTTATATAGCAGATTAATTACGATTTCATAATAAGAGTATATATATTAAGAGCCGAAAAAGCGTAATATATATAATATTAGTAATAACTTAATAAATAATAGGCAAATAGCTATAAGTTAGGTACTAAAATAATTATATATTACTAGGTTTTTAAAAGGTTATAGCTATATATTATATATTAGTTATATAGCAGATTAATTGCAATTTTATAGTAAGAATATATATATTAAGAGCCAAAAAAGTATAATATATATAATATATATATCTTAATAAAACTAATATTATATTATTAATAACTTTCTTTATATTAGTTTAAGGCCCTAAAAGGCTATAAATTAAGTACTAAATTAATTATATATATTATAATAGAAAGTATATATTTTAGGATTTAATATATTATAATATATATAATAAATTTATTATTAAGAGTTTAGAACTTGCTTAGAGGTTAAGACTAGAGGCGTTTCCTAAATCTAAACCCCTTTTACTCTTAGTATAATTAATAATAATTTTTTTAGATATTACTTCTGAATAAGCTAATTCTTTAATAGCCTTTTATTCCCGAACCCTTAATAAATTATTACTAGATTTTAATCTTTTATTTCTAAATCTAATTCTCTAAGAATATCTTACCTAAAGAAAAGTAAAGAAGAAAAAAAAGAAATAAGATATAAAAGTAATATAACTAGATAAGTATACTAGTAGGAAAAATATTAATAAGTTCCAGATCCCAATTTAATAGGTTATTATTTGCTTACTTATATTTCCTTAAGCTTTTTCTATTTACTATAGATTTAATAACTAATATATACCTTTTCCTAGCTTCTTTAAATACTATTTAGTAATCTTCTTTTTAATAACCTTCTCTTTAATAACCTCCTCCTTAATAACTTCCTCTTTCTTTATAACCTCTTTCCTTAGATATATTGACCTCTTTAACTCTAATTATATAGTAGCCTGACTCTTTATATATATTGCCTTCTTACTATATCTAAGAATATTTAAATACTATAAGTACTTTAAATATAGAGCTATTTGGCTTCTAAATACTATTAATTCGATCTCGAAATATATAAGAATTATTAACCAGATATTAAAGATCTATACCTGATTTTATAAGACTTTTATTATAGAATATAGACCTGCCTTATATAATATAAGAGCCTACTATTCGCAAATCTACTAGAATTTAAAGGCAAAGTACTAAGTTATTACTAACTAAATAAGAAATTACTACCTGCTTATCTATAAGAATCCGAGAACGAAATATTAAATAATAATTACCTAATAGTAAATATTATAGAGAGACCTAAGAGATCTCTAGTAAGACCCAAAAGACTCCCTACTTGAGCCCAAGTATTATAAGTACTATCTTATCTTATAACCCTTCCGAAAATATAATAGCTTTCTAGCTAATTACTACCGAATTAATAACCATATTCTTATAAATCTACTATAAATACAAATCTCCTAGATACTTATAACCGAGAAATAAGAAACAGATATATATATATTCTATAGAGCCTACTATATAAATAAGCTACGAATTTAATAAGGCCTATAGGATTAGATATTTATAATATATAAATAATAAGGAATTAGAACCTATTAGTTAACCTTAAGGGAATTAATAATTCATTCTCTAAATACTAACTATTTACTAGGGTACTAATCTGGAACCTTTAAATTTATAAAACCGGAATAGGAATCCCTTACCGAGTTATAATCTCTTACTATATAGTATAATCCCAGATAATAGTAATTATAGTATTAATAATTTCGATAATAGTTCCCTAGAATATAATAGTAAAATAGAGCCTAATAGCCAAGAGCTATATAGTAAATTATAAGTAAATATTTCCTTTTTTATAAATAGTAACTAGCCTAGTCTCGGATATTTCCTAAACTAACTACTTCCGGGCAGTAATAATAATAATAGTAATAATCCCGACTTTATTTCTAAAAAGACCCCTAATATACCTTATTTAGATAATAATAATAGTATTAATAAGAATAATAATAATACCGAAAACAACCAAATTATTAATAATAAGGATACTAAGACTAAGAATAAGGGTAAGGGTAATAGTAAGGATAAGACAAAATTAGAAGCTTAATTATAAGCCGAAATTACTAGACCTAATAGGCTACTAATTAACTATATTTCGAAGCTAGCTCGTTATTTATTTGATTTCTAAGGATATATAAATAAGTAATATACCGAGTCTAATAATAGATAAGATTTCTTTTATTTTACTAAATAATATATTATACTTCTATAATACTATAATTTCCTTTTGAATTATAGTCTTAATAAATAAAATAGTAAACTATTATATCTAGAGTAAATAATAAACTAGTAAGAATATATAATAGTTAGAAATATTAACTAGTAAGCTATATTTACCGGTCTTATTATAAATAATAATAATAACTATTTACCTAATAGCCAGGTTATAGATAATAATAATAATAATTTAGATAATAGTATTCTTTATAAGCTTAACTTTAATATATTACAAATGAATTATAATAAAAATAATACTAAACCAGTAGCTAATATTTCAGACTATTACCTATATTTATATATATTTTGCTTTTAGATAAACTATTATAAAGGTTTAAAATAATATAATATTAATAGCTTTTATAGGTATACTAATTGCCTTTTTTTTACCTAATAAGGAATTTAAGTTAATTTATATTCTTATTTTTAATAAAATATTTCTATTTCTATATATTTATATATAAATATTACTGACTTTATAATAAATCCTAACCGGTCTAAGGTCTAGAAAATAGCCTTTTATAAGGTATCTTACTATTACTTTAGTTATATAATTAGTTATAAGAATATTTGTATTTATATTTTCTTTCCTTTTATATAGGACTCTATAAAGAAAACTATATTTCCTAAATATAGTAGTAGTATTCTATTTTCTATTCTCTAATATTAGTTTAATAAGATTCTTTTACTAGCCATATTCCGTAATATTTTACTAATAAGTTACTAGTATATTTCTTTTAATTAGGAGTATACTAAACTTAAAGCCGAAATATACTAATAAGAGAATATTAGTTCTATATATAATAATAATATTTAAGCTAAGGTAATACTTCTTT